GGTGATAGCTGCCCTCCAGGTTGAAATGGTTCTCATTCGTGATAAATAGTGACTGGAGTGTGCAGACACAGTTGCCACGCACACTGCATGAACAAATGGCTCCAATCGCACGACAGTTGTCCCGAGTGTCGCTCCAGGTGGGTACAGAAAAGCTAGCAACTCGTTCACTTGTTTGTTTGTTAATATCAAACAGAACGTTTCGCAGTTCGTAACCAACAAATTACAGACGGCGACCACGACGACCCTGGGGCTTGCGGGTAGAATCGGTGGGAATGGGAGTCACATCCTCGATTCTTCCGATCTTCATTCCAGCACGGGCCAGAGCACGCAGAGCAGCCTGAGCACCGGGACCGGGAGAAGTGGTTCCGTTACCTCCAGTAGCTCGCAGCTTGATGTGCATGGCAGTGATGCCGAGCTCCTTGCAACGAGCAGCCACATCCTGAGCAGCAAGCATGGCAGCGTAGGGAGAAGACTCATCACGATCAGCCTTCACCTTCATTCCTCCAGTCACACGGACCAGGGTCTCACGTCCGGACATATCGGTGACGTGAATGAAGGTATCGTTGAAGGAAGCGTAGATGTGAGTAACAGCGAACACCTCCTCTCCCTCACGCACGTTCTGGGGTCCGAGCTTGATCTGTTCCTTTTCCTGTCTTTCTTTCTTAGGAGCCTAGAGGACCGTTAGACCCTTCGTTCGACAAACACACAACAGAATGCATCTCCGCACAGGACTCACCACCTACCATAGTAATTAGTTAGTTTGGGGAGTTATAAACTGCCGTGAACTACAATCTGAGATAGGGTTAAAAACCTGGTGAAATAGGGGACCGGTTTCAGTATCGAAACAAACAGGTTCAAATTGAAAGATTTGAATCAAACCGATTACAGTATTTACTCTATAAATATACAATCATTCCACTCCAAAATGATATTATAGGGGAATAATAATAGAGTATATAAGTTAATGATCCCACTAAAACACGTTAACATGGTTCTAACCAAGACTCCAAAAATAGCCTTTATTTTGCCTTCACCCAGAATTTAGCTCTTTCGTTTATTCTCACTCGAAATTGTCTTTTAGTTTGCGAATACTAATTTTACTGAAATATCAATGAGTGAGAGTAAATACAGTCCAAGACCTACAGTGCCCCAAGTGATTCGTTTGTCCACCCAGTAACTCGATAGACATATGCAAATACACCGTCTCGAGTACCCGGTTCGATTCCAAAAGAGGACTCGGAGCGATTAAAGGTGGGACGCTATTGTGGCTGATAATTTGTATAGGATTTGGTACGCTTCCACATTGAGTCATACAATTTCATGCTGGACAAGGGTTTGTCTCTCGCCGTCCGCGATATCTTCCCTCTGGAGGTTTCTACGCTGCATTCCATTGATTCTAGGTCGAGAACCCGGATAACAAGCAGGTCCTCCGTATTTGGATCCAGGATGTGAAGATCGGCTATCCAATCAAGGAGGATGGCTCGAGCGAGACGCGTCTCCTCCCTCACGAGTGTCGAGAGCGTGGAATCTCGTATATCTCTGTCCTATTCCTCATTTTCAGCTACACCTCCCCTCTCATCGCGTATGTCGCTCATCAAGTGAACGACGGCCAAATCGTGGTCACCGAGCGAAACTTGGGCCAGCTTCCCATCATGGTGGGCTCGAACCGCTGCCACCTGAGCCGGATGACGCCAGCGGAGCGCGTGAATTGTGGCGAAGAAGTGTACGAGCTGGGCGGCTATTTCATCTGCAACGGGCTGGAGCGAATGATCCGCTTGCTGCAAGTGACGCGTCGCCACATCATCGTGGCGCTGGACCGTCCGTCGTTCACGAAGCGAGGCCCGGAGTACACGTCGCTGGGCTGCCAGATGAAGTGCGTGCGCGAGGACATGTCCTCGATGACGGTGACGCTGCACTATCTCCGCGATGGCCGCTGCACGCTGCGCTGGTTCATCCGCAAGCAGGAGTTCCTCGTGCCGGTGGTGCTGATCCTGAAAGCGCTGAAGGACTGCTCGGACCGCGAGATCTACGAGCAGCTGATGCGGGGCGACTCGAACAACACGTTCCTGAGCGATCGGCTGGAGCTGCTGCTGCGCGAGAGCAAGAACATGCACTTGTAGGGGTGAGGGAGCGGATCGAGCGCAGAACCACGCGGCGCGAGTGCTTGGCGTATCTGGGCTCGCGGTTCCGCATCCTGCTGTACATGTCGTCGCGGTACAGCGACGTGGAGGTGGGCGAGGAGCTGCTGAAGCGGTACATCCTGGTGCATCTGAAGTCGAACGAAGCGAAGTTCGCGCTGCTGCTGGAGATGATCAGCAAGCTCTACAAGCTCGCCAACAAGGAAATCCCGCCCGACAACGCCGATTCCCTCATGAACCACGTCTCCTTTCTGTTTTTTTGGGTGATGCGTAGGAGCTCCTGCTCGGCGGCCACTTGATGTGCATGTTCCTCAAGGAGAAGCTCGAGGAGTTTTTGATCGGCGTGCGCCAGAACATCGCGCGCGAAGTCGATCGGCACAAGGAGAAGATCGACCTCTACGACACGGCGTGGATCAAGAAGGCGCTGGACCGGCAGTCCGACATCGGCAAGAAGGCCTACTACCTCCTCGCCACGGGCAACATCATCTCCTCCACGGGACTCGATCTCCAGCAGGCCGCGGGCTACACCATCGTCGCCGAGAAGCTCAACCACTGGCGCTACCTCTCCCACTTCCGCTCCGTGCACCGCGGCCAGTTCTTCACCGAGATGAAGACCACGCAGCCGCGCAAGCTGCTCCCCGACTCCTGGGGCTTCCTCTGCTGCGTGCACACGCCCGACGGCGCGCCCTGCGGCCTGCTGAACCACCTCACCGCCACCTGCTCCATCACCACCGACGTCGTCCCCGCCCCCCAGCTCGCGCGGCTCTGCCAGGCGCTGGGCCTGGTCCCCGCCGACTCCCCGCTCGTCTACGGCAACCACTACGTCCCCGTGTTCTTCAACGGCCAGCTGCTCGGCCGCGTCCTCGCCGCCCAGGCCGCCGCCTTCTGCGACCAGCTCCGGCTGCTCAAGCTCGACGGGGCCAAGCTCCCCGCCTGCCTGGAGATCGTGTGCGTCCCCGCGGGGGAGCAGGGCGGTCCGTGGCCGTGCGTGTACCTGAGCACGGACGCGGCGCGCATGCAGCGGCCGGTGCGGCACCTGGGAACCGGAAAGACGGAGTGGATCGGTCCGCTGGAGCAAGTGTACCTGGAGATCGCGTGCGTGGAGGAAGATATCCGGAAGGGCGTGACGACGCACATCGAGGTCTCGCCGGCGAACATGCTGTCGCTGATCGCGTCGCTGACGCCGTTCTCGGACTTCAACCAGAGTCCGCGCAACATGTACCAGTGCCAGATGGGGAAGCAGACGATGGGCACGCCGGGGCTGTCCTGGACGCACCGCACCGACACCAAGATGTACCGTCTGCAGACGCCGCAGGCGCCGATCGTGCACAACGCGCTGTACCGAGAGTTCCTGTTCGACTCGTACCCGCAGGGCATGAACAGCGTGGTGGCGGTGATCAGCTACACGGGCTACGATCTCGAGGACGCCATGATCCTCAACAAGTCCTCCTTCGAGCGCGGCTTCGCCCACGCCTCCGTCTACAAGAGCCACGACATCGACCTCGTCGACCCCAAGGACCCCGCCACCAAGTCCCTCATCTTCAAGCGCCCCCCGCGGGAGGCCATCGCCTCCAGCAACCCCTCGGCGCTGCGGCTGGACCCCGACGGACTGCCGCCGATCGGTCTGTTCGTGCAGAAGGGCGACGCGATCTGCGCGGTGTACAACACGGAGACGGGGAAGACCTCGCTGCGCTTCCACGACTCCTCGGAGCCCGCGTACGTGGACGAGGTCCGCATCCTCGACGGCGACCCCGCGCTGGGCGTGCAGCGCGTGAACATCAAGTTCCGGTACAACCGCAACCCGGTGGTGGGCGACAAGTTCTCCTCGCGGCACGGGCAGAAGGGCGTGCTCTCCGTGCTGTGGCCGCAGATCGACATGCCCTTCACCGCCTCCGGCATCACGCCCGACTGCATCATCAACCCCAACGCCTTCCCCTCCCGCATGACCATCGGAATGCTCATCGAGTCCATGGCCGGCAAGTCCGGCGCGCTCCACGGACAGTACATGGTAGATCCCCGCGGGAGAGTCGACTCTAGGACGCCACGCCGTTCCAGTTCAGCGAGAAGCAGTGCGCGGTGGACTTCTTCGGGGAGCAGCTGAAGGCGGCGGGGTTCAACTACTACGGCAGCGAGCCGCTGTACTCGGGCATCTGGGGCGACCTGCTGGAGGCGGACATCTACATCGGCGTGGTCTATTATCAGCGACTGCGCCACATGGTAGTCCTTTAACGCCCCGCTGAGTTCTTCTAGGTGAGCGACAAGTCGCAGGTGCGAGCGAACGGACCGATCAACCAGCTCACGCGCCAGCCGCTGAAGGGCCGCAAGCGCCACGGCGGAATCCGGTTCGGAGAGATGGAGCGCGACTCGATCATTGCGCACGGCGCGTCGTTTTTGCTGCACGAGCGACTGCTGAACTCGTCGGATCGCCATCTCGCAGTGATCTGCGATAAGTGCGGAAGCATGCTCTCCGCCACCGCCAAGCCCATGACTCAGCAGGAAGCCGCCACGCTCAGCTCGCGCGTGCCGAAGAGTGGAAACGGGGAAGGAGAGTGAGGTGTAGTGGTGTGCCATGTGTGCAAGACCAGCACGACGTGCCATTTGGTGCCCATGCCGTATGTGACGCGGTATCTGGTGAACGAGCTCGCGGCGATGAATATTAAGGTGGCGTTTGATGTGGAAAAGATTTCTTGTTGGGGTGTTTGTTGAAGCAATCGCAAGGGGTGTGTGAGCAAGTTGATGAATCAATCAATGGATGAATGAGGCAATCGTTGAATGGATCAATCACACACATTCACCCCTTCTTCTTCTTCTTCCTCCATTGTAAAACTCGAAAGCTTTCGTTTTCTCTCAAACAAACAGAGCAATACACTTAGACAACAATATTCTTAGAAGCAGCCGATTCCTTCGCCTTGGGGACGGGCGCAGCGGTCTTGGGGAGGTTCTTTCCTTTTCCCTTGCCCTTGCCCTTTCCCTTTCCCTTCGACTTCTTGGAAATGGCCAAAACCAGCACCACGATAATGGCGATCACCACAATCACGGCCAATACAATTACAATATACAGCCATACGGGGGTAGGCGACTCCAACACCTGGATACGGAACTTCGCCTGAATCACGCCAGCACTATTTCGAGCCGTCACCGTGTACTGACGCGAGTCCTGCGGCGTCGTCGGCTTGCCGGAGATCACTCCCGTACTCTCGTTGATCTTCAATCCCGTGGGCAGCGTGGGCAGCGTCACGAAGGTGAGCTCCAGTCCGCGGACGGTGGGCTCGATGCTGTACTCCTTGCCGGTGTAGAGAATGTACTCCTCCTGATCGTACTTCAGCAGCGAGGGAGCGGCGGGCGAGCAGACCTGGCTCAGCTCGACGAAGGATCCGCTCTGGCACTGGTAGATCACGTTGCCCTCGTAGAGATCGGGGCAGGGGCCGTTCACCAGTCCGCCCTCCAGGGAGCCGGGCAGGCCGTTGGCGGGGCGGCACACCTGGCCCTCCAGACGGTTGGCGTAGAAGTAGATCTCGCCGACCTCGATTCCTTCGGACTGGCAGCCGTTGAACACCATGCGGTAGGCGCGGTAGGGCTTCGTGGGGATGAACTCCATGTCGATGTAGCTATTGGTCCAGGTGACGCTCGACATCGTCAGCAGCACGTCGAACACCGGCGACTCGTCCTCGGGGTTGTTCGTCGCCTCCACGCGCAGCGACTTGAAGCGGCGGCGCTCCACGTTGCCCTGGTACACGCGGGCCGCGGTGGCGAAGTCGCGGCCGAAGTTGTCGAAGGTCCAGAGGCCCCACACGTTGGTGCAGCTGTTATCGTTGGAGAAGAACTTGTCGGTGTTCACCTTGTTCCAGAGATGGTAGTTCCGCTCATCCCACGACGAGTCGTAGTAGCCCACGTGCGACGCAGAGCCCTGTCCGTTGACCACGAGATCGCGCGAGGTCATCTTCGGCTTGATGTACATGTTGAACGTGTTGTCGTCGTCGGGACGCTCCTCCGTGTCGTGCACCTCCACGCACAGCAGGTTGTCCGTCGCCTCCATCAGCGAGAACTGCGCGCTGTCGCCGTACAGCACGTACGTCGGCTCCTCGAACGCCTCGGTGGCGGGCGTGCTGTGCGTGGCGTCCGCCGGCACGCGCACGCGGTTCACTTCCTGGCCGTTCAGGTACATCACGAAGCCTCCGCGGATCTTCACGCCCACCACATAGGAAGCGAGCGCGTCCAGCGAGGGAGCGTCGAAGCGGGCGCAGTAGTAGGCGGTGATGCTGCTCACGGGCGGCAGCTCGTTCAGCTTGAGCTCCTCCCAGTTGCGCGTGGTCTCCTTCTTGTACCAGTTCTCGAGATAGGTCATGGAGAACTCCACGGTGGACTCGCTCTCGGTGATGTAGGAGAAGGGAGCCACGGAGACGAAGCGAGGCGTGTCGCCCTGCGAGTGCGTGCCGCTGATCGTCTCGCTGCCGGCAGTGATCGTGTAGGTGTTGCCCCACGGGTTGTTCGAGCGATCCAGCAGCACGAAGGTGACCACGCCCTTCACCGCGCAGAAGCCCATATTGAACGCGCTCGTGTAGTCGGGAATGTTGTCGTTCCAGTACACAATGTCCTTGTTCGTGTCCATCACCAGGATCGACATGCGTTTGCCGTTCGTGCCCGTGTTCGTCATCGACATCGACACCAGGCTGTGATCGTTCGAGCAGTCCGCCACCGTCAGCATCACGATCGCCTGCACCGGCGAGCCGCTCGGATTGCGACCCGACACCGTGTAGGTCGTCTGCTGCGCCGAGGCGGTGGCCTTACCGTGGATCAAACCCGAGGAGGAGAGCTTCAGACCCGCGGGCAGCTCCGGACTGATGGTGAGCTCGTAGTAGAGGGAGGAGGAGCTCTGCAGATAGTAGTTGGCACCCACGTAGGCGACATACTCCTGGCCGTCGCCGAAGCCGAAAGTCGGCAGCGTGTACTGCGCGGGATCCACGTAGTAGAGATCGATAGCGTTGATCTGCAGGTTGTCCGAGACATCGCGGATCGCCGTGAAGGTGAAGCGGATCGCGCGGATCGCAACCTCGTTGGGCATGAAGTAGCACTTCTTCTGCAGCATGTCGGTGAAGTACTCGTTGGACACGGTGTGCACGGAGTTGAACGAGCTGCCGCTCTCCGAGACGAGCACTTCCCAGGCGGCGGGCGCGTTCTCCAGAGCGTTCCAGCCGGTCACGATGCAGTACATGTTCACGTACTGCTTGCCTCCGTTCAGGAAGGTCGCGGTGATCTCGTGCGTCTGCGAGGCCGTGGAGACGTAGCGAGCGTTGTAGTCGCCGTGGAACATGTTCGCCGAGATGGTGTTTCCGTCGTTGTGGTGCGTGTCGCTCACGGAGGTCTGCAGACCCACCGAGATAGCGTTGGGCGACAGCATGCGGATCTGGAAGATGTTGTCGATGGAGCGAGCGGTGTTGTCGGTGTTGACGATGGCAATGCCCAGCACATTCGAGCCGGCGATCAGGTTGCCCGTGCCCACGCGGCCCGAGAAGTGGGTCCACACGAGGTTGCCGCCGTTCTGGTTGGTTCCGGTGCTCGCCGAGGTCAGCGTTCCCTCCACGTTGGTGCGGAACACCTCCTGTCCGTTCACGTAGAAGATCAGACCGGCGCGGTGGTACGCCATCACTTCGAAGCCCATCAGGTTGGTGATCGTGGACAGAGTCACTTCGCGGCGGAACAGCCAGACGTTCTGCGAGAGCTCCGGGACGGACGAGGGCACGCTGTCCCAGGATCCGGCGAAGTCGCTGGTGGCCCATCCATCGGGAATGGTTCCGTCGGCCTTGTAGGTCCACTGCGTGAGATCGTTGTCCGACAGCACGTAGGTGTTGAACTCGTAGACAGAGGTGGGCTCGCGATGCATGCCGGTGGCGTGCAGCACGCGCATCGTCTCCTCCTCGCCCACGTACACGAACACGTCGATGTACGACTGACGGTGCCAGCCGCGATCGAAGTCCTGGGAGAGCGTCAGCGTGTAGATTCCCTCGTCCAGGCAGTACTCGAAGTTCTGCTGGCCGGCGGCCTGGGAGCCGAAAATGTCACGGCCGTTGTGCGCATCGATCACGACCTCGCCCTTCTTCAGCACCCAGCGATCGGCGGATCCCTGCCAGTAGTCGTACTTCATGACGCGCACGCGACGCTTCGTGCCGGTGCAGGCTACCACGGAGAGCGTGAAGGACGCCGAGTAGGAGGTCTCGCCCGTCGTGACGTGCGTGGCCGTGATGGAGATGGTCGTCGACTCCGCAACACTCTCCGGAGAGCCGTAAATCGCTCCGGAAGTGGCCGAGAGGGTCAGACCGGTGGGCAGCGTCGAGGTGGTGGCGAACGAAGTGAAACCTCCAGCGGTGGGGGCGATGTACACGTTGGTCTGGCCCACGAAGAGCTCGACCGTCTCGGCAGGGTAGGACAGCACGGGGGTGGCGGCGTACTCCACGTCATCGAGATGGAGCTGGATCAGACCGACCTCCAACGCCTCCGAGGACGAGCCGTCGAACGCGAAGCGGTACTGATTGTACGCCACGTGATTGTGGGGCAGAGAGAAGCGCAGCGTCTGGTACATGTGGGTGAACACGACGCCCTCGCGCTGGTCCAGCACGTCCCACTGCGTGTTGTCGTTCGATCCGCTGAGCGTCCACTTGTGCGGACGGCGCGCCTCGATGCCTCCCGAGGTGGTAATCGAATACGCATTGATGAAATCGCGACGCTGGTTCGGGTACGCCAGCTCCACATAGGCGGGCAGCGACATGGCGGTCCACTTCGTACGACGCTCGCCGTCGAACGCGTTCGCCATTCCCTCGCCCGACAGATCGGCGGGGTGGTCCGAGTTCGCCACGCCCTCGAAGTTGCGGACCGACGACTTGAGCACCAGCAGGGCGAAGCCCGCGAAGTCATCGGTGAGGGCTTCGTGCTCCGCAGGGAAAATCACCTCCACGGCGATGGTCACCTTGCCGGAGCTGGGCAGCGTGTCGATCGGGAAGGAAATGCGGTGGTAGGTCGTCGTGTCCGCGGTCGCCTCCTCCGCGCTCACGGTCAGCACTTGCTCGCCGTTCACGTAGAGAACGTAGCCGTAGCCAGTGCGAATACCCACTTCGTAGGCTCCGAACTGGGTCACATCGCTCGGCATGGTCACGTCCGCACGGTAGAAACGAGAAGTGACAGTCGCGCCGATCTCGGTGAACGCGCCGGGAACAGCACTTTCCCAGGACACGGTTCCATCGGGACTGTACCAATTGTCGGAAGAAGTGTCAGAATAGCTCCAAGCAGAGGTGGTCGTATGCTCGAGGTGAGCTAGCAGGTAAAATTCGAACAAAGATGATTACGGTACACTTTGACCTCGCGCATCGAGTTGCTGTCAAGAGTAACACGACCGATGACAACGTCTCCCATCTTGATATCCATGTACGAACCCTGGGTCCATCCATTGTTATTGTACTCCGAGAGGGCCAAGGTGTGTACGGCATTATTAACGCAAATGGGGTAGTCTCGAGTCGTTCCAGCCATATTCAAACCATTAACTGTGGTCACATACTTCCCAGTATCGGCCTCTCCTTCCCAAATGTTAATAGTTTCATAGTAGCTATCGGTCTTGTGAACGCGATGCAAAGTCATTTCTTGTTGGTTTGGTGAGCAAGCACCTAAAACGGTTGCTATGAATCATGGTGGATTACAATCGTTTACCCAGAAGCAATGAAAGGGTAAGAACTCCTGTCATTAACTCAAAAAGTAAGAAAATGAAAATAATGAACGAAAACCATCAGAATTAATAGGGACAATTATGGATATATATGTGGCATTCCCATACTTTCGAATATGGTATTTTTACGAAAAGCGGCCAATTCTGGATTCTCCTCAAATAGAGCCTTCCAAATGATCTATTCAATGGCATGGTGAATCCGATTGATCGTCGGGTATTTGGGAGAAATACACCTATGTCTTTGCGTTGGGTGTAGTAAACCTGAGGAATACGGCCAACACACTTCGAAACACGAACCCCTTAGAACGTGTGTTTTTGCTCCTTCTTTCTGTATCTCTATCCAATCCTTGCTCCCCTTAACACCCACCCACACAGTACACACATAAACACTTCACGATTAGTTGAACAAACAAGTAAACAGCTTACTGATAGTTCTTCTCCATCTCCTTGAACATAGCAATGCACTCGTCAACCGTCTTCGTGCCAATGATTTCATTGCTACGACTTCGAATGGTGACGGTGTCGGTCTCGGCCTCCTTGTTTCCCACCACGAGAATATAGTTAAACTGAGCGAGCTGTGCCTCTCTCACCATCTTGTTGAGCGTGCGTCCGGTGTCATCGACCTCGGCTTGGAAGTAGTTGTCCCAGAGTCTCTGTCGCACCTTCTGGGCATACTCCATGCAGGTAGCGTTGACGGGGATGACGATGGCCTGGCGCGGGGACAGCCAGAAGGGCCACTTTCCCTTGAAGTGCTCGAGGAGGATGGCGAAGGATCGCTCCACGGATCCCAGAATGGCGCGGTGCACCATCACCGGGCGCTCCATCGAGCCGTCCGCCTTCTTGTACTCCAGCTCGAACCGGATGGGCAGCTGGAAGTCCAGCTGGATGGTGGCGGTCTGGTGCACGCGGTGCAGCGCGTCCATCACCTTGATGTCGATCTTGGGTCCGTAGAACGCGCCGTCGCCGGGGTTCACCTTCCAGTTGCCCTCGCCGATGAACTCGTTCAGCGACTCGGTGAGGGAGGCCTCGGCCTGCTGCCACAGCGCCAGATCGCCCATGGCCTTCTTGGGGCGCGTCGAGAGCTCCAGGTTGAAGCTCATGCCGAAGATGCCGTACACGTGTCGCATGAAGTCCAGCACGCCGCTGACCTCCTGCTTGATCTGGTCCGGTCTGCAGAAGATGTGGGCGTCGTCCTGCTGGAAGCGGCGCACGCGCGTGAGTCCGTTGAGCGCGCCGGAGAGCTCGTTGCGGTGCAGCACGCCGAAGTCGGCGAAGCGGATGGGGAGCTCGCGGTAGGAGTGCATGGCGTGCTTGAACATGAGGCAGTGGCCCGGGCAGTTCATCGGCTTGAGCCCGTACTCGGTGTCGTCGCAGTTGAACAGGAACATGGAGTCGCGGTAGTGCGAGGCGTGGCCGCTGATGTTCCAGAGCTCCAGGTTGTACACGTTCGGCGAGACCACCTCCGTGTAGCCACGCTCGTGGTACTCGTGCCGGATGAACTCGATGAGCTTGTTGTAGATGTACGCGCCCTTCGGCAGGAAGAAGCAGCTACCGGGACTCAGCTCGTGGAAGAAGAACAAGTCCTGCTGCTCGCCGAGACGGCGGTGGTCGTTCTTCTTCGCCTCCTCCTGGAACTTCTTCCACTCCTTCAGCTCCTTCGCGTCGGGGAACGAGATGCCGTACACGCGCTGCAGCGTGTCGTTCTCCGCGTCGCCCAGCCAGTAGCACGCCGAGTTCTTCACCACGGCGAAGCCCTTCACCAGCGCCGTCGACGGCAGATGCGGGCCCATGCACAGATCAATCAGCGACCCGCACCGGTACACCGTCGTCGTCGCGCCGTCGGGGACCTTGCTCCGAATGATGCTCGTCTTGAACGGGTTGTGCTTGAACAGCTCCAGCGCCTGCGCCTTCGTCAGCTCGCACCGGTCGAACCGCTGCTTCTCCTTGATGATCCGGTTCGCCTCCGCCTCGATGTCCTTGCACTCCGCCTCGCTCACCGTCATCTTCCCGAAGTACGCGTCGTAGTAGAACCCGTCCGTCAGCGCGGGGCCGATGCACAGGTCCACGCCGTACAGGTTCTCCATCGCCTCGCCCAGGATGTGCGCGCTGCTGTGCCAGAACGTCTACGTCCCACCCCCCACGCGCGCCCTACCGCCTTTCCGCCCTTGTCCTCGAACTTCAGCAGCCACAGCTTGCAGTTGCCCTCCAGAGGGCGCGTCAGATCCCACAGCTCGCCTTCCTCCTCATCGCACGACTCCCGCTCCTCCGGCTCCTCGGTGTTCACGCACGAAGAGCAGATGGAGGCGTCCTCGTACAGCACCTGCGTTTCAGCAGCAGCGCAGATTCACCTACTCTTGCGGAAACCACATGCTGCGCTAAACCCTTCGAGATACCCTCAGCAATCATGAGAGGAGTCGTCTCCCACGACTTTCCGGTCTTGACAGCACCATCGGGCAAGGTGATGGTAATGTCCACACGCGGCTTCTCTAGAAGCATGAGCAGACAGGGAGGAACAGCTACCGGCAAGGGACTTCTTGTACTCCTCAAAATACTGGTTGAAAAGCTCCAGACGCTCGCTTAACCATGGCGCGTTTTTCGTAATCTCGATCTCGCCTCCAATTAACCCCGAAGTCTTGATATTTTGTTCAGTTCCCTCAATCAGACGATTTGTTTCGTGACTAGACCAAACGTGAGAGCAGCTCCGTCCCAACCACCCCCTACTTTTCCGCTGACATCTCGCTCACAGATACAAAGAAAAAACTAGAAGTCGGACAGGGATGCACTTTCCGCTGAACCCACGCTCCCGCGGGAATTCGCCGATTTTGGCTTTCCAAACAAACAAGCAACTTCTCATCACAAAGAGCACAAAAACAAGCAGCAGCGAGCCGCTACGCCTCTTCCGCCGCGTCGTACTTGCCCAGATCGAGCGTGAGGACGGCGGAGGAGTCCTCCCTCCAATCGCGATACACTCCGACGAGGGCATCGGAGCGTTCAAACAGCATATCCTTGTGGGAAATCACGATGCACTGCGTGTGCCTGGCGTTCTCCTCGATATACTTGGCGACCCTCTGGACATTGGCATTGTCGAGCGCATCATCGACTTCGTCCAGCACCAAAAACGGCGCCCTTCTAAACCGATGCAGCGCAAACAGCAGCGCCAGCGTCGCGATCGTCTTCTCGCCCCCGGACAGCTGGTGGATGTCGCGGAACTGCTTCCCCACGGGACTGACCGTGTATTTCACCCCGCCCAGATACGGTTCCTACCCGTGAAACGCCCGCATGAAACCCACGTCGGGGTTGGTCAGCGTGAGCACGGCCTGCCCGCCGGTGGCGAACTGCACGCTGCGCGTGAGGTCCTTGTAGGTGGCGTCGATGGCGGCCTCCACCAGCTGAAAAGCCTCCAAAAACCGCGATTTGCGCGTGTCGCTGCAGGCGAGGAAGGCCTGGTTGGCGTCGTGGAAGGCGGCGACGAGCTTCTTGCGGCTGGCGTTCATCGCGGAGACGCGCTCCGAGAGGTCGAGGAACTTCTTCTCGGCGAGCAGGTTGGGCTGCATGCGGTCCAGCTCCGACGCGATCTGCCCGATCCGCCCGCGGAACTCCTCGTCCACGCGCGCGTAGTCCAGCTCGGAGAGCTAGCGTCGAGGCTTCGCGCCGTCCCTACCTCCGTCGGCTTGCTGCACTTCGAGAAGTCGATGCGCCGCATCATCGCGTCGTCCTCGTCGATCGCCATCTCCAATCGCTGCGTGTACTGCTGGGAAAACCCCGTGCTCGTCTCCGCGAATTCAGACTCCACCTCCATCGCTCCCGTGGCTTCTGTGGCTCCCGTGGCTCCTGTGGCTCCCTCGCTCTCCTCCGTGGCTCCTGCCTCGCTCTCTCTCCCCGGCAGCAGCGGAATCTCGATCTGTTCCATCGCGGCGGAGCGGAGAATCGCGTTCCGCTTGGTCTGCAGGATGGTGATCGCCGATCGCACGCTCGACGCCGCGTCGTCCAGCTTCTTCGCCTGGCTTCGTTTCTACGTGTGACCGGTTTGGCAGCAGTGTCCACCTCGCGGATGCGCGCGTCCACCACGCCGATGCGTCCCTCCTCCTCCCGGATGCGTCGCTGCACCTTCACGATCGCCACCTGCGCGGCCTCCAGTTCCTCGTCCAGCGCGCGCAGCCCCGCGTCCTCGCTCTCCGCGCGCCCGCGCAGCTCCTCCAGCCGCCGACTCGCTTTGCTCCGCGCCGCCGCCTGCTCCGCCAGCTCGCGCTGCGCGCTCTGCAGCCGCTCGCGGCCGTACTTCTTCTTGGTCTGCAGCAGCGCGATGTGCGTGCGGCACTCCGCCTGCATGGCCTCGTTCTCGCGCAGCTTGCCCACCATCTCCGTCTCCAGCTGCTGCAGGCTCTCCACGCCCAGCTCGTCCAGCAGGGACCCATAGACGCGCTTCTCCGCGACGGTGAGCTTCTGCAGCAGCGCGGAGAGCGCGGAGACCAGTCCGTCCTCGTCGCGCTGCAGGGCTTGCAGGGCTTGCTGCGCCTGCGCGAGGTCGGTCTCCAGCGTGGCGATGCGCGCAGCGTAGCCCTGCAGCTTGGATCGCACGGCCTCCAGCTCCGACGCCAGCACTCTACGCGATCAGCCCCGCTCTCTGCGCTCACCGCTGCTTGCTCGCGTAGCGGTCGCGGTCGATCTCCACCTGCCGCACGGCGTCGGACGTCGCGGCCACGCGCTGCACGCGCCTCTCCATCTCCGCGCATTCCTTCTCCAGAACGCCCAGCCGCTCCGTCTTCGCGGCCAGCTCCCTCTCCGTGAACCGATCGCCGCGCTTCGCCGCGCTCCAGCCCCAGCCTCCCGTCATCGCTCCGCTCTTGCTGATCTCCTCGCCCTCCAGCGTCACGATCTTCTCCCCGATCCGCGTCTCGTACGCCAGTCGCCGCGCCGTCGCCAGCGAGCTCGCGCAGATCGCGTTCCCGATCGCGTAGCGCACCGCCACCTCCACGTCCGCGTCGAACTTGAGCAGGTCGTAGAAGAGCTTGCACCCGGACCGCTTCAGCTCCGACCGGATCTCCACGCGGATGTCTTTGGGGCGCAGCGAGTCCAGCGGGTAGAAGTCCAGCGGCGGCATGTGCTGCTCCTTCAGGTATCTACGGAACGGGGAAACCGGGGAACCCACTGCACGCACTCCACGGCGACTTGCTTGGTGTTGACCACGACGGCGTCGAGATGCTTCCCCAGCGCGACGTTGACGGCCACGTTGTACCTACCGCTCAGCCCTCGCGCTTTCTCTCTCCGTACTTCTGCAGCGAGGGCACGCAGATGTCCAGCAGCAGTCCGCGCACGTCGGGGTACAGCTCTTTCAGTCGCTCCACGCACTCGCGGCGCTGCACGTCGCGCCTCGAGCTCTCCCGGCTCTCCGCCGCGCCGCGCAGCTCCGCCTGCAGCCGCTCCATCTCCCCGCGTTTCTACGCCTCGCCTCGCTCCCTCGCGCCCACTTCGTGCAGCTGCTCGCTCAGCGACGCGAAGTCCGATCGGATCTCCTCGCTCCGCGCCGCTAGCGCCGCCGCCATCTTCTCCGCGTCCTTCGCGCTGCTCTGCAGTCGCTGCTCCTGGCCGCGCAGCTCCTGCACCACTTTCTACCCGTTATTCACTCTCTCTCTCTCCGTAAAATCGCCTACACGCGTGTTCTCCAGCTCCTGCCGATGGCTCTCCATCTGCTCGCGCTTCTGCTTGATCTGCGTCTGCACCGTCGCGCGCTCGCGCCGCTTCGCCTCGTTCGCCTGCACCAGGAAGCCCGCCTGTCGGTCGAACTCCTCCTTCAGCTCCGCGTACCGCGCCTTCTGCGCCTCCGACATCGCCACGCCCGCCTGCGTCTTCGGAACGGCTTCCGCCAGCGCCTCCAGCGTCACGTTCATGCGGTGCAGATCCTCCTCCAGAGCGCGGTCCTCCGCCTCTAGCGTCGATTGCTCGCTGCGCAGCCGCGCGATGGCCGCGTCGCACTGCCGAATCCGCGCTCTAGGCTTCAAGAGAGGGGCGAACGAGCACTCGTTGCGACGAATCCGGTCGCTCAGCTTCACGCTCTCCGGCTGCTTCTGGCGGATCGCTTCGTTGATCCGCTGCTGCTTCGCCTCCTCGCTCTTCAGCTCCTCGCGCAGCTGCGCCATGCTGCGTTGGCTCGAGTCCTTCGTCTCCCGCGCTTTCTACAACCAATCCATCGATCCCCTCGCGTCCAACCTCCTCGTTCCGCTCGCAGAGCTCGCGCTCGCGATCCAGCTGCGCCTCGCGCGCTTGCTGCGCCTCCAAATTCGATTGGAGGTACTGCAGCTGCCACAAAAAGTACTCCACGCGCAGGTCGCGCAGCGTCATTTGCTTCTCCTGGAACTCGTCGGCCTCGCGCTTCTGCTCCTGGACTAGCTTCTTCTCCGAGATCATCGTGTACTTCTTCTTCAGGTTCATGTCCATGATGTTGCGCAGACGGTCGCGTTCGGCGCGCAGCTCGTCGTACTGCTGCTTCATGTCGGCGCTCCCGGAGAGGTCCTCGAACAAACGAGCGAGGTCCTCGGGAGAGCGGGCAGCAATGTTTTGCACATCGCCCTGGTACACCACAAAATTGCGGCACTTTACAAGGATGTTACAATCAGCTAATTTGGACAGGTAATCTTCATATCTGTAGGCCTTTCCGTTGATCTTGAATTGGGACTGCCCATTCTCTTTCACCTGACGATAGAATTCGATCTCTTGCCCAGGTTCCACATTCTGATCGGACTCATCGGTCATATAAAACATGGAGACGGAGCAGGTGCGCGCCACAAAATGCTGACTCTCATTCCGAAACACTAGTTCTCTTAGATTCGTACTACGCAAGTTCTTTATGGGAATGGCCAAAACAAAGCTGATCGCGTCCATTAAATTTGATTTTCCTATTCGGTGACTCTCCACAACTAAAAGTATACCCGCCCCATTGGGACCAATAATGCATGTGAACTGTTTGAAGGGGCCGATAACGTGACGGCCGCGATAGGACTTGAAATCTTCAGTCTCGATTCGATCTATTCGTCCCATCCACTGTTTCTAAGTACTATTAAATATATAATTTTGTATAAATTGAGAGGGTGAACAAGAAACCCGCCAAAATACTACACGAAGAAATAAAAGTTTAAAAGGATTTTTGAATATAGGATGTATTATTATTAGAGGAATCGACAAGGAAGAAAAGGATTGCCAAGTATATTAGATAAAAAAATAGAGCATTGGAGGATTGGCAAACCATAAGAGCATAGAAGCACTGATTCAACCGATTGATCGTGCCAGCTCCAGAAAGTTGTTCAAACACGAAGACTTCAAAAGGCATTTCTGGAGAAAAAAGTGAAAATCGTTCCCTATTTTTGTACTGTTATTCTGATGAAAGCTGCCGAACTCGACCGAAAGATCGAAAATGCTGCTAAACGTGGCTATTACGCTACGAAGCAGGTTTATAAGAAGATTATGCGCAAAATCCGAGGAAACGATGTGAGGTATTTCAATACGACCAAGAGAGGTGATATCAATGACTGGAGAATTCAGTTGCATGGGCTGGATAAGCGACAAGTCGGAAAAACGATGAAATGCGTGATCGCAGCCATGACAATCGGTACGGATGTGTCCTCCTTGTTCCCCGATGTGATTAGTTGCATTCACAACGAGACCTTAGAATTGAAGAAGTTGGTTTACTTGTACGTGTTTCTTCAAGCGCCTTCCTCATCTTCTAGATATCTATTAAAATACGCAAAAGAAAATCCGGAACTGACGCTCCTTTCCGTGAATACGTTTGTTCAGGACTGTGAGGACAAGAACCCGCTGATTCGTTCGCTGGCGCTTCGCACGATGGCGTGTCTTCGTGTCCAGTCGGTCATCGAATACCTAGTTCCTCTGCTCGATCGATGTCTCGATGATGTCGATCCCTACGTTCGCAAGACGGCCGCCGTGTGCGTAGCGAAGCTCTACGACATGGCTCCGGAGCGCTGCGAGGAGGAGGGCTTCATCCTCCGTCTTCGCAAAATGATCGGCGACTCGAGTCCGTTCGTGGTGTCGAACTCGCTCTTCGCCCTTCAAGACATCGCAGAGACGCTGGGCACGGACACTGTACGCGTGAACGGCAAGCTCCTGAACCGTCTGCTGGTGTGTCTGGAGGAGTGTTCGGAGTGGGGCCAAATCGCGATTCTCGAAGCGATTTCGCGGTACATCCCCGAGGACGAAGCCGAGGCCAGCCGTATCATCGAGCGCGTGGCTCCGCGCCTCCAGCACGCGAACACTGCGGTGATCATGGGGTAGATTCCCGCGGTTCTGCTGAGATCTAGCGCGGTGAAAGTGATCCTGCTGAACATCGAAGATTGCGACGAAGAGCTCATGAAAGCGACGCTGAACAAGCTCGCGCACGCGCTGGTCTCGCTCACAAGCATCGAGTGCGCGGAGCTGCGCTACGTGGCGCTGCGGAACCTGCGTCTGATCATCCAGAAAGTGCCGAACCTCATGGCGTCGACGATCCAAGTCTTCTTCTGCAAATACAACGACCCCTACTACGTCAAAATGGAGAAACTCGAGCTGCTCATCAGCCTCGCCACGCCGCGGCACATCGAGCGCATCCTCGGCGAGTTCAAGGAGTACGCCGTGCAGGCGGACGTCCCCTTCGTCCGCGCCTCCGTCCGCGCGATCGCGCGCTGCGCCATCAAACTCGAGACCGCCGCCGACCGTTGCGTCAACGTTTTGCTCTTCCTCCTCCAGAGCAAGATCTCCTACATCGTCCAGGAGGTCGTGCTCGTCTTTGCCGACCTCTTCCGGCTCTACCCGGGCAAATACACGTCCGTGCTCGTCCCCGTCTGCAGCGCCATGGAATTGATCGATGAACCGCGGGCACGCGCAGCCATGGTCTGGATCATCGGAGAGCACGCGGACGTCATCGAGAACGCGGATGAGCTGCTGGAATTCTTCGTGGAAACCTTCCACGACGAGAAAGCCTGCGTGCAATTGCAGCTTTTAACCGCGGTTGTGAAGCTCTTCGTGAAGCGACCCGATGCGGGGAAGCAGCTCGTGACCACGCTGCTGACGCTGGCGACGGCGGAGACGCTGAGCGTGGACTTGCGAGATCGTGCGTATTTGTAGGGGAGCGAGATGAGAGATGATGATGGGGTAGGTATTGGAGGTTGCTGTCGTATGCACCGAAGACGGCGAAGAAGGTCGTGCTGTCGTCGAGAGCGAGTATGAAGCCGATTTATGAAGAGGTCATGGATGATGATTTGTTGTACATGATGTTGGAGGAACTGGGATCGGTGGCTTCGGTGTATTACAAACCAGCGCAGGAGTTTATCACGCCCAAGAGAGGGCCGGAACCTGTCTCGACCAATTCACCTTTGGCGGATGATGATGATGATGAATTGCAGATCGATGTGGATAATGAAGAGGGGGATAACAGCGATGAGGACGAGGATAGCGAGTTTGATATGGATATTTTTGCAGATAGTGATTTGTGTGTTTGTTTGAAGCAAAGAATCGTTCCAGAAATCGAAGCTATTTCTGGAACTTTCTGGGAGTTTGCTCATTTTTTGTGTTAGTTGTTATGGCAAAGCATCATCCCGATTTGATTATGTGCAGAAAACTTCCAGGCACAGGTAGGGCTGAAGGAGGCTAGTGATGGGTAGCTATTGGTCGTCTCTGCAATAATTGTAATTGTCTACTCTACATGTCAACGTGTAGGTGATGGAAAGTGTGTAATTTGCGATACCTACGTAAGACCCTGTACTTTGGTCCATATATGCGATGAATGTAACTACGGTTCCTTCCAAGGACGCTGCATCATTTGCGGTGGAGAGGGCGTTTCGGACGCGTATTATTGTAAAGAGTGCACCGTTATGCAAAAAGATGTAAGCTTTTGAATTGTGTGGTATAATGCTGTAGAGAGATGGTAGAAAAGAGAAAGAGGTTTCAAATGTAGGGTGTCCCAAAATTGTGAACATTGGTACTGCAAAAACAGATATGTTCTATGAACAAAGGAAATATGGGTTTAAAAAGAGGTAGTGTGTTTGTTTGAAAGATTCCTGTATTTTACGAGTTGTTTCGATTCAAATCCTCTATTCCATTTCCACACACTCAATTCATTTCAACCAACAAAAGTCCAAATCCAAATTCTTAATAAATTAATAAATACGACTCGACTAAACAATACTCTTCATCTCGATATCCCGATCTCCATAAATCTTCTTCTGTCGATATTCTCTCTCCATCTTCACAAACTTCGCATCCATTGGGAACACGGGCTGCCTTCTCCGGACCACGCTTCCCAGACAATTCACCACATCATCAATGTTTCCTCTACCTCACATCCTATTCCCCAATCCGACCCTTCATCCTCAAACCGGACCAATTCTGCAGTCTTAAAGGAAATCGCAGGCAACTATCTTTCAACTTTTCCCTCCATCATTACACTCGACGTTACAAATCGATGTTCCACATGAATTCCTATTTCACGCAAACTCTCTATCAATTCGCGAAGGTGGGCTGCTTCCTGTGGTACCAAAAACGCGGTGCTGCACGATCCCTTCGATAGGAGTTTCATTCTATCTCTACCTGGTCGATTCCCGCGGGAATCAGTGGAAGAAAAAGTTTGGCTTTGTTTACGAGTTTGGCCTTGGTGCTTTCGAATTGATAAGAAAGTGTTTGCCAATTGGTGTTTTCGAGTGTGTGCAAGTAAGATGATTGGACGCTTTCCTTCATGTTGGAGAGTGTCATCCCGCGGTTATACACGGAACCTAGGAAAGAATGGGGATGGCGATGGGCCTCGGCAAGAATCGCGGGTTTGTGGGCTGTCATGAAAGCAAAGGAGGGCGTTACGTTCAGAATGGAAGTGTCATGAATCTGTTCATCATGTAGCCATCAAAAGTGGAAACGGAGAAATCGATGATCTCATCGATCCGAGGCAAGGGCTGAAGACAAAAGCCATGCCGATTATCGACACACACACTCACATCTTTTCGCATTTTCCGCATTTTGGGAAGGATTTGGCGTAGGGGAGTCAACGCTCCAGAGAACGAATCCACGCTTACAAATAAAACGTGTGTGATCCCTTCGTGGTACACTGCATCTTGAGCGGCTTGTTTGGCATCCATGGGGAGACACATCGAGTGGAACACCCATTCCGTTTTGTAGCCTTTTTCGTAGGCGTATTTCACGATTTCATCTCCATTGAAGCCATTCGAAATCACCAACAGACGGTCTTCCTTTTTATTCATTCTAGATTTCATAATTCTTCTTTGTAAGCACGTTTCTAAAAATCCATCAATAAAACTGTTTCCCGTTGCCGAGATTAGCGTAGTGTAGCGATCGCGCATTTGTTCATCCACCACTGTCTCTAACATAGCATCTATCACATAAAACTATTCATAAAAGCACGACTGCAAAAAGATTGGGTAACTTCACTCCGAGTGGATGCGATTCCACGAAAGAGTGTAAAAAGACTCTTTCCAATCACTCCACATCGACGACCTGCAATAGACAGCATCGATAGAAATAAACTTGATCCTTTTTCCTATGTTTTCTCTTTCCTGGATCGCTCCTTTTGTCTGTCATGTCCGATAGAGGAAATGCTGTCATCGTGGAAGCTCCGCGCTATAAGAAGATGAAGATTATTTGTATTCTGGAGGGTGCTTGTTTGGAAACTGTAAAAACCAAGAAAGTGAGAAACCTGTGCGCAGCGATAATATGTAGGGATTCACATTGCTCAATTCCGATGACCACATTGGGTTACTGAAAAAGATGAAGGTCGATCCGGTAAACGTTCGTCCAGATATTTGCCATCAGGTTGGTACCAAAATATCGAATTTCCACCTAGAGCTTACTTGCTTTGCTGGATAGTCCACTAAATAAGTCAGGTCATTTACAAGTGCGCTCAGGACATCCATACTCATTTCTAGGTGTACGTCCATACAACCAAAAACGTTCTCATCGAAATCAACTCGCACATTCGTATTCCCCGTACATATAATCGTTTTGCCGGTCTAATGGGTATGCTCTGGCTCGGTTCTTCACAGTAGTCCAACTTCTCCACAAGGAGAAGGTCCGCAACACGGATGGCGATGAAACCCTCATGAAAGTGATTCAGGGCAGCGTCCCATCGATTATTCCGGTGGACAGTCGTCGGTTTGCAACGTCAATCACGGGTCGAAGTGTCGATCCACTTGAGTTCGCACAAGTTTTGAGCAATTGGGATGATGCGTCGGTGCATTCGGACACGATCGTTTTCTCCTTTGGATGCTTTGCGGACGGCCACTCGATTCCGAATTACGCAGAGGAAACGATTTCTGTGTCGAACTACCCGGTAGACTGGCGATGGAGATGATTGATGCGTAGCTAAGCACTCCGGTGACGATTAGTAAGCTGCTGAATGCGTTTGAACACACCTGGGGCATTTTGTAAGGCTTGTTGTTTTAGTGGACTGTTTGTTTTTATCCCTTATAAAATTACAATTCTGTTTTGTTGACACCGGAGTAAGGTGGAGCAAGGTTTGGAGAAATGCCGTTACTCTTTCTTACTATGATGTGTTTATTTTTTGGAGTAGCATGTAGATGTTGCTTTTTTGCGTAATGTGCGTAGTTACTTCTCCGTCATTCAAGTCTGGGTATTCGCCCTATTTGGGCATGATTGATGCAGGCAGGTGGGTTGTTGGTTGTGTGCGTGGCTCGTTCGGAGTTAACTGTGTTTAGTACGGGAAGCCGCTTTTACCTGTTTAAAATGGACCGAGACGAAAACAATGAGATTGTGCGAATGAAGGAGGTGTATTCGGCTGAATGTACTCCGGGCATAAAGTGCATTTTGGGTGTTGTTTTCTACGTCTAGTTCCTATGCCTCGAACTTGGGTGGAGTCTGGCAGCCTCTCTACAATCTGATGAAAAATGCCGAAAAGCATGTCAAAACGTCAGGAATGTGTGTTCTCTGCTACGGTCTCTCACCCTCCAGGGACATTCCAGTGTACATCTACGCCACGGCCGGAATGCGTGTTCTGAACAAGCACGACCAGAACCGAATCTACAACGCGATCTACTTCGCATACCTCCGCTCCGACCTTCATTTCTACATGCGTCGCGACATGCTCCAGACCATCGACGGCGAGCTGGAGGCTCTCTACGGCTGGATCACGGTGAACGTCCTGGTACCCAGTTTCCCCAGTTTCTCGATCAGAACGGTCGGATCACTCCCTCTCTGCGGTACACGCGTCGCGCGACGCTCGGCTCGTTAGACCTGGGCGGCGAATCGACGCAGATCGCGTACCAGTTCGCGGTACGACGCCCCGGCGACGCGGTCGACTTCGCGCAGGACCTGTTCTGCCGGTCGTTCCTGTCGTTCGGCGCGAAGGAGGCGCAGCTGCGCTTCGAAGCCTTCCTCCTCAGCAATCGCGAAGCCTTCCGCGACGACGCCGATTCCCGCGAGGATCGCCTCCACGTCCCCAACCCGTGCAATCACCGCGGTTATCTCGACGAGTCGCCCAACTACCCCGCGCTCCCGCACGAGGGAACCGGCAATGTGGCCGCGAAACGCCCGCCTCACCGATAGTTCGACCGCTGCGAGGCACTCCTCACGCAGATTGTCCGCGGAGATTCGCCCTGCACCGATTCCCGCGGGACCAGTGGGCTTCGGGCGCGGCGTCGAGCGTAGAATGTTCCATCTGGGCGATGCAGATCCCCGCGGTGAACGTCGATTTCGTGGGAATGTCCCTCTATTTCTTCGTGGTGGACTTCGTCCGCGCGGCGTTCCGCCTCTCCGAGGACGCGCAGCTGTCCATCGAGGAGCTCAAGAGCTACGGCCGCGCCTTCTGCGCCCTCCCATGGGAGTTTCGTCGTGGGGGATCCCTCATTTTTAGGGATGTGAAGAACCGCTTCCGGGGCGTGCATCCGTACACGAACGAGCAGGTGCTGCCGCAGCGATGTTTTCAGGTAGGGATTCGCGGAGAGTGGCATGTAGATCGCGTATGTGGTGACATTGCTGGAGCAGGGATATCGGCTGGAGGAAGGGGAGCAGAACGCGGTGTCGATCGATTTTCTGCGGAAGATTAATGGAGAGAGCGTTGATTGGACGTACGGAGCGGCATTGTTCATGGTCGGTGAGAGGAGGGCAATCGAGTGTAGGGACGCAGTCCAGTGCCTCGACAGATCAGTTTGAAGTGGATTCTTGCGACCATCGTCGCTCTTTGCTTTGTAGGAATGCGAGATTGTCGATGAGGGATAGTTTGTTGCAGCGTACTTGCTAACGTATCGAACGTCTTATTTTCGATATCAAAGGATCTCTATAATTTAGCTTTCGTTCTGTTTGTTGGAAATAGAGAGGGGTGCGGGGTTGTGGGAATAACCGCGGGCACCGCCTAGGATTCACCGTTCTAGATCTCCTGCCATACTGTGTTTATTACAATGTCGTCTGAAGGATTTGTTCACCCTTCTACTTACAGAGATGCTGATGGAAATATTGCCCCTGAAAACCGTGAGGCTTGGCTGAAGTCCATGGAGGCAATGTCCAAGGACCGATTTATCGAGATCGAGGAGCTGGAAGTCTTGCGACAGAGAGTTTCTGACTGCTTCAAGAAAGAAGGTAATTTTCGGGTTTTGGGTGTAAGACGATTAGGTGTTAACCATATGGATAATTGCAAGGCTGTGGTAGATGCCTACACGCGTTTTATGGCGGAGAATGGCTTTTCCTCATAAGGTGGATCACAATTAGAATAAGAAATCTTTTTCTGTGTTTATTCACACAAGCGTGAGCGTAGCAAACCGGACAGACTCAAAATGGATCAAACAAACACACTTCACACAACTAACACAAACCAAGGCATTTTCGTTTCTTCGGAGCACAGGAACCTACGGCTGTATCGCAGTAGAAAATCTCGCTGTCATCACTATCCGCTGCACTTGACTGAGCTCCAGAAACCTTACTGTGCTCTTTGTCTCCGGCAGTAGCGATCACCTTTATCGTGAATGTCGCAGTGGGCCACAAATGCGTGATCTTGGCGGTTGTCTCCTCTTTTGAAACAACTACAAATTTAGCAACGATGTCTCTACCTACTGACGCTTTCGCAATTCTCCCAACTCTCCTCTAACACATCTTTACACAAGACCAAGTATCCAGCGGCGTCTATGCTATATACATTTTCCCTCATGTACGCTTCACAGGTTTCCAAGCGATCGTGATCGAATCTTCTTCCGCTTCAAGGCAGGTTATCTCTGTTGGTGCATCCAATTTTTTAGGCTGCTGTGTAGCGTTTTCCGCCATGATTGACTGCAGTTTGACAAGAAAAATAGCAGTTTATGTCTTTCGCTTTGTTTCGTTTACCTGTATTTTGAGTGCAATGACTCGAAAGTCGCTCCTACAACCAGTCAATATACTGGCTGGAGCACTTTTCCTTCTAGCACTTTTCTGTGGTTTAGGAATCAGAATCAAATCAATCGTATCGAAGAATCAATGTATCCTGCTTTCTTTTACTAAATAAATACAAAGATATCAAATTAGGTCAGGACTTTGCATTCGCGACTCTTCCATCTGTTTTTGTGTATCACACTAAGGATTCAATCATGAAGCGTCATAACTCGACGCTCGCAGCACTCAACAAAACGAAGAAGTTCATTTGTCCCGAATGTGATATTGTATTTACTAATGGAAACAAAAGGTGCCGATCGAAGTATGGATTTCACCCATTTGAATAATCTATATAGGTATTTCGCCTATGACGAGTCTGTGTGTTGTTCATATTTATCATTCAGCTCGTAGAGAGCCTATTTTTCTTTTAGGAAATTCTGTTATAATCGTCGCGATAACAGTTTCTCCATTCGACCCTCCGCAGCCAAAAGAAAAGACATCGGTACACAATACTATTGTATTCACTCTATTTTTACACCCAATTGTTTAGTCGATCCTTCCATCACAATTCATCCACTCCCTTATTACCACTTTGCATACGATTTTGCTGCCCAGTATCTTATTCTAAACAACAATCCAAAACTCATCGATGAAACGATCGATCGACTTTTCAAAATCAATGCATCCACTCTTTCTTTTCCTCGTCGCGCCGAATTCGATCAAGTTCTTTGGCTTCTCGCATTCTCAGTCGCTATGCACGACTCAAACCTTCGTCCGAGTGTAGATTCGTTCGTTCATTCTCTCATTTACACAGCCACTTTCTATCACCACGGCCGACGAAAGTCGTATTTCGGAAGATACATTTCGATTTGTCAACGAATTACTTCCGCTGTTAGAAATCCAATCGAAGGCTTCGGTTGTCATCGTGCGAAGCCCCGCCAAAGCAACGTTCTGTTCGAAGTTCGCCGTAGTATTTGCTGTGTTTGTGCCACATAGATGGCATTTGCGATGTCCTCCGCTTATAACGAGGTCCAGCCGAATTGGATTTTTCTGCGAATGTTCCGATTGAACATTTACAAAGCAGCGGGTTTTTCATTGTATGTGCCGCAACGAAAGAAGCCACATATCGTTGTATCGACGGAAGTTCGCAGCAAGCACCGAATCCCGTTGAATACTACGAGAGTAGGCGCAATCAACTTGTGGGAAATAGTATTCCCTCGCGGAACTGACTTCAAACCGAACGATCGAATCGAAGATAGCGATGTTGGGCTCCGCGGATCTCATGATGATGGCCGATTGGGAGCCGATTTACTATTTTATGTTTCTGCGAGCTCATTCAGTGGGTGTGATCTTACGAAACGAGTCGTGTGCGCGATGTTTTGTGATGAAGCGCGTGTGCAAAGAGCTGCGAATCTCGCTCTACACGACCTCGAAGTTCAATTTTTCGCACTGGGAGATGGTGGTGACTTCGATTTTTCCAAAAAAGAAGTCAAGTTTGTAGTGTGTTTGGCTATTGTCAATGATTGTTTGTTTGAATCAATGAATCAATCAATCAGGCATGCAAGCAAGCAAGCAAACAATCGCTCTGCTGCTCCATCCATCCAATCCCTCCGCTCCTTCCAATCTCGCTCGCTCCCCTTCTTTCCCTTCAACAAACACCGCAACCAATCATATTTATTATTAATATCCCATTCCCTGGGGCAGCCACATCGACGAGTTATAAGCGAAGCCTCGCGAGGGCTGGTCGACGTGCTCCATCATCACGCGATTGTTCTGCATCCCCGCTCCATACCCCTCCGCCGTCTGCGCCTGGTTCTGCGCCTGGTTCTGCGCCTGGTTCTCGTACGTGGTGGGCTGAATCTGCCCCATCAAGTTCCTACCGCTCACTCCTCCCTGCCAAAGCGCACGGATAGCCGCGATAGATGTACCCCTGGTTCGACGTGTAGTTCCCATACCCGCCCAGCGGCACGAACTGCAAGCCCTGGTGCCCGTACATCATCGGCACGTCGTGGTTCATCCCGGGCGCCTTCTCCCCGCTGTTCATCTCCGCTCCGCTCTTCCCCTGCAGCGACGAGTAGTTCTGCTCGCTCGAGTTCGCAGGCATCGCCTGGCCGGGGATCGGCACGTTCAGGTAGGGCGCTTCATGGTGCATCCCGGGCGCTGGGTGTGAGGGAATGGGGGCGAGGATACCTCCGTTGGGGAAGTAGTCGATGACCATGCTCTGGGGGTAGCTGGGATACACGCTGTAGTAGCACTAGAGATGACAACGACTGCGCGTGGCTACGTGGTAGGACAGATCGTGCATCGGATCCACTTCGTGGTGCTGCTCTACGCGTTATCTCCTGCCGCCAGTCGCACCTCCGTTGGCTCCCTGGCTCGGCATTGCCTGGTTCGCCATCACCTGCGGCATCGCCTGCATCGCCTGCGCCATCGGCTGGCCCATCGCCTGCGCCATTTGCGGTCCGATCGGCTGGCCCATCGCCTGCGCCATCGCCTGCGGCATCGGCTGCCCGATCGGTTGACCCATCGGTTGACCCATCGGTTGACCCATTGGCTGTCCCATCGGTTGACCCATCGGTTGACCCATCGGTTGACCAATCGGCTGACCAATCGGCTGACCCATGGGCTGGGCCATGGCCTGGATGGGCTGGGGGATCGGCTGCGGCATCGGCTGCGCCATCGGGTGGCCCATCGCCTGCGGCATCGGCTGCGGCATGGGCTGCACGCTCGGCGCGGGCTGCGCGGACTGCGTGCTCGGCGCGGGCGAGGCGGCGAAGCCGAAGCTCACCGGGACCGAGTCGGGCGCCGAGGCGAACGACCCCAGCGAGAACTCCAGCGGCTTGCGGCGCTGCATCTTCCGCACCACGCGCTTCCCGCGCGGAGCCGACGCCGCTGCCGCCGCTGCTGCCGGGGCGGCCTGCGCGGAGCTCGCCTCCCTGCTCTCCGCGGCGCTCTCGCCCGGCGCAGAGGCCTCCGAAGCCTCGGTCGACGCCTCCATCGACGCCTCCGCCTGCTCCACCGATGGCTCCGCAGCCGCCTGCGCCGAAGCCTCGGTCGACACCTCGCTCATCTCCGCGGCCTGCGCGGCCTTCGCCGGCTCTGCGGGCTCCACAGGCTCCACGGGCTTCGCAGGCTTCGCAGGCTCGGCAGAGGGCGCCGCTGAGGGCTCCGCCGACTCCGCGGTCGACGCTGAGTGATCGGGTTTTGATTCCTGCGCCTCCTCCGCTGCCGCCTCGCCAGATTTCTCCTTTTCCACGGTTTCCACGGTTTCCACAGTTTCCACGGTCTGGGAAGGCTGGGACTCGGCCGGCTGCTCCTCTTCGGCCGGCTTCACGGAGGGTTGGGCCGGCTCACCGGAGGGTTTCGACGCGGCGGCTTCGTCAGGCTTGGAAGAGGGCTCGGCGACAGGCTCGGAAGAGAGTTTGGGAGGTTCCTGCGCAGTGGGTAAAGCGGGCAGAGTGGGCAGAGTGGGCAGAGAGGAATGCTCCAGCTGGACAATCATCGGGTCCATCACGGGATCGAGATGGGCTTTCGAGGCAGCAGGCTTGGGAGCCGACTTGGAGGCGTTTTGAGAACGAGAAGCGGCGGCTCGTCGGCGCGCCTCGGCTTCCATTTGATTCTGGATTCTTCTTTGTCGACGCTCTTTTTCTGCTTTTTTGAGATTGATTTGCTTCTGAAGGGAGCAACAGAAAAAAGAAAAATACCTTTTCGGTACGAGTGATTACGGTGGTCCACTGGTCTGGAACATCATTTTCCCAATACTTTTGGACTTCGCGATTTATGGCTTCGATGTTTCCTTGATTAGAGACGATAATGTCTAATATATCACTTTTGGGAGTAAATTTGGGAAAGGAAGGGGCAATATCCCTATACTACAAAAGTAAGGACGGATAGGTGCAAAGAAAGCTTACAATTCGTTCAGCTTCAGCATCTGAGAGCGAAGGCTTTGTTCTCATTAGCTCTCGGGTTCTTTCTGCTTCTCTGATGATTTCTTCTTTATCTTGCATATTTGAAAAGAAAAATATTCTACGAACGTCAAATACCTTTCAGGGTAATCTTCTATACTAAGGTTAGAATAAGCTTATTGCGCATCAAAACCTACACTAATCTAAGATATATATAACCAGAAACTATTCAGTTTCAGACTTTTCTGATTAAACTACAAAAATGAAACCCCCAATTAGTTATCAACAAACACGTAAACAATAGTAAAAGACGCCTTAAATACCCAATATTATTTTTGTAGAGAATCCAATATGTGACTGCTTGCTTGGAATATTATGCATTACACCCAGCGTCATAATGAGCGATCTCGACACATACTCCTCCTACGCATCACACAACTCCCCCAAATCATACAATATACGACTGCAGGATTCCAGACGAGTTCAACGTCATATGCATCTTCCCCGACTTAAATGTGTACATGCATCCGACCTCCAGCTCGCTCCTCCAGTTTTCGAAGTCCATTCGCAGCATCGACACGAGCTTCGTTCGATTCGAAGCTCGCTTCATATAGTACGTCTCCAATATACGCTGGTTCGAGAGCGTTCCTCCTGTGCGTAAAAAAAAAGAAAAAGAAAAAAAGTACCGATGAGATTCGAACCCACGTCGTACTTCGCGCTCACCGCATACGACAAGTCTCGGTCCGGGATTTGGAATTTCGCCTCCAGACCCATCGTCCAGTCTTTGGTGATGTATTGGCTGTAGCTGAAGCCAACTTGTCTGCCGATCATCACATCCGTGCTGACATTGTAGTCCTATGGGTAGGCGAGTCCGTGAGAATGGATACAGGGCCTGTGTACGCTAATTCGCCGACGACGCGGTCTTCTGCCGGGTTTCGGGAGGTCTGGATGAGACAGAGAGAGATCATGAGTACCTGCACTTGTAGCATGCACATGAGATCCGGTCGAAGGAAGCCGTGCACAACGCCACCGATATGCCAGAGCGAGTCTAAACTGGCGTTGATACGAGCCTAGCTAGAAGAACCAATTTCAAATGTACTGTCTTTTTCATAGCGTCGATCGACAAGTTATAAACGGAGTTACCAATTTGCTGAGGAAAGTAGTTAGAACCAAGCATCAATCTTGGAAGTGAGCCAGAACTCATTTGTGTTACCCATGCGTAATCATAAGAGCGGGAGTCACCCCCTTCACTACTTCGGCACGAAATCCATCCATAAAATCGAACTGAAGTACTTGTTTAGGTTCTGTGAACAGAAGCTTGTACTGAGGTACATGGCCTCTCTGGGGAGCAGCTTTGGGTGGAGCAGGAGTGGGAGACGAAGGGGTACTCTAAATTATCAGTAGGACGGGCTTCAGCTACATCCATATCCACATTTAGATTGTTCGGTTGCTCTGGATTCATTATATTCAAGCCGCAGGGATTTGATGAAAAAGGGAAAACGAGAAAACGGTTATTTCCCTACTTTCGCACTTTCCAAATCACACCCAAAGTGAGTCAAAGATGTAGAAAACAAACAAAACTCAAGGGATTTTCATCATCAAAGATGGACGCGAGAAAGAATGAGCCGCTCTTGAATAGATAGAGGACTTAGGTAGTCTTCTACGCGCTTCTCATTCAGCAAAGTGGTCATAAATTTCTACAGTGTCAGAAACCAAAAACAAAGGCACAATTATATGGTAACCAACCATTCGATGTACCGTTCGTTCAGAACGGATCGTTTTTAGCAATAAGCGTTTCAGTGGCTTTGCATCCACCATCATCTTCGGAGGAACATGCAACATTAGCTTATAAAACACTACAAGCTGTCTAAAAACCTCCTCAGAAATTTCAATTTCGTCTTTTACCGAGATTGCCACCAGTCCAGACAGAACTGATTGCATCAACACAATCTGCTCATCTTGAGGCAGTCGATCTGCCCAAAATGAAAATAAATAAGGATGGGCGACCTAAAATTAAAACTAAAAACAAGCCTTTTTTACCAGGAAGGGAGATTGCGCATTCCACAGCTGATTAAACGAGAGCAGTGAACAAAACTGCCGCTTGCTAATCGCTTGCACCATACAATCCAATTCGCTCTTCCCTCCCTGCCCCGTTTGCAATCGACACAACGCCTCCTCCCCATCGATTTGTGTTTCTGTGTTTCTCTGCTTCTCACTTCGGATCGGCTGATTTTCGACTCCTTTGGCCGACTGCTCGTTCACTCGCTTCTCTACTGGCTGCAGGTGGGATCCCATCCTTTTCATTAGCTGGGGAGACAGATAGGCCTTCGCTAGCGGCAGAACGGACACAGGACGCGATAAAGAAGGCTCTTCCGACTCTTCAAACGTCGTCGAAAGCTCCGAATACCCCGAATTATTGGAATTCCCGGAATTCGATAAATTCCCCGGATTTTTGGAATTCCCAGAATCGGCCTTCTGGAAGGGAATTCGCGATTGGATCCTCGGCTTGGATTCGAAATGAACGGGTTTTGACAGAGTAAACGTGGAAACCAGAGAACGCTCCGGGCTGCTCCCCGCGGTTTCTCCGTTTCGGTTTGGCTTTTTGGCGGCTTTTAAGGCGGCGACGAAGGTTTCATCGAGTTTGAATTTCTCCGCGAATTCCAGAAACACGGTTTTTTTGCTGGGGGAGAGGGCCTGCAGCACACTGGCGGTTTCCCGCGGGGAGCTCTGCGCGAGCTGTGCGAGCAAATCGCGAACGAGCCGGAGCAAAACGGTGGAATTGGCGAGGACGCTTTGATAGCAGGCGTCGACGATGAAACGCCCGAGATCGGGTTTTGTGGCGAGGAGGTCGGGATGGAGAGCGGCGATGGAGGTGATCGAGCGAAGCATGGCTGCGTGGAGGAAGGTGGGGGAGGAGGCGGAGAGGGAGGCGGTCTGCACGCTGTGGGTAAATAGCAAGAGGAGGGATTCGTTGAGCGCCGCGCACTGCAAGCGAAGCAAATCGTTCACCAAATCCACCACCATGCGGCTATTCGCGTTCTCGGCGCTCATGAACGAACCGTTCACCAGCTGCTTCACGCAGTCCGCCATGCAGTCCGCCACGCTCCCCACGTTCTCCGGGGTCAGCAGCACGCGAACCAGCAGGCCCAACACCTCCAAGCTCGCGCTCGTCACGCGCAGCACCGCCGACCCCGCGGTTTTCGTCACGTTCTCCACCACCACGCGCACCGGCGCGTTGAACAGCTCCTCCACCGCCTCCTCCAAGCTCCCTTCCCCCTTCGTCCGCGCCTTCCCTCGCCCCTCCAGTCTCCCCTTCATTCCGCGCAGCACCTCCAGCTGCCCCGCCCACGCCAGCTGCGGCAGCACCGCCACGCGCTGCCGCTCCTGCGCCTCCAGCTGCTCCACCGTCACGATCGACGACTGTGGTCCCGACTGGGTTCCCGACTGTGTTCCAAATTGTGTTCCAAATTGTGTTCCTGACTGGGTTCCCAACTTTGTGCCCAACTTTGTGCCCAGCTGTGTTCCTAATTGTGTTCCCAATTGTGTTCCCAATTGTGTTCCCGACTGCCCCAGCGTCAGCGGCTGCGTGGTCGCCAGGAGCCGCGAGGCCAGCGGGTTCATCGGTCGCACGGTGATCGGGGACACCGCGGGGGAGACGGTGATTCGGCGCGGCGCCTTGATGGGCGTCGTGGCCAGTCCGCCGCGGACGCGACTCGGCTGCGGGGACGGGGACGGGGAGCGCGAGCGCGAGCGCAGCTGGCTGGGCGTGGCGGCGTGGGGGAAGTCGGGCCACTGCACGGAGAGCGAGAGAAGGCTCGGAGAACCGCGGTAACGCTGTGATAAAGGGAAACGGGGAAAGGTACGGCGTGGAAATCGCGGAGATCGGAGCGGATGAGCTCGAGGGCGGCGTTGCTGAGCGAGGCTTGCTGGGAGGGGGAGAGGAGGCGGTCGAGAAGCGAGGACACTGCGGGGTATTTTTGGAATGGCAGAAATACGCTCGATTTCGGTGAGTTCGGAGGAAGAAGGAGCCGAGGGAAGGGAACGCAGGTAGAGGTAGCAGAGAACGATGCGAGAAACGTCGCGAACATCACCACTGCGGTCTTTGACGCCGTTTAGAACGATGTTGACGATGTCGTCGTTCTTTCCGGAGATGTAATCGCCATCCCAACAACGGACTGCTTCTCCGATGCATTTCATGAGGGTGAGGCGAGCTGCGCTGTGCGTGGATGTGCAAAAGTAGGAAAGCAGAGAAGAAAAGAGGTTGGGTGCACGATGGCAGTTGATGATGATTGTATTCATTGTGGACTCGGCTGCAGACGCAACAGTCCGTTTGGATGACTATTTCGAAGAGGAAAGGGAAGACTACGGTACTACACTCCACTAACGTCTGCCACAAGGACAAAGCCACTCCCTCAAAATCATTCTTGCACAGGGAAGACCACAAACTTATAGAATCTAACGCAGTTTTCACCTACACTTCAGTCAGCTGTTTGACCCTGCACGATTGAAAATCTTGTTCCTTTTAGGTGACCAACTATTAGTTGAACTAAATCACGCAACATTGAGCAGAAGAGAAGAGGACGATCTTTTGAATCACGAGCTAACGTCTATACCTTGAATAATACAATATTTGCAACGTCCAAAATCTGAAACCCCTCTATAATTCGTTCCGATTCGTTCTCGCCCTTGCTAAGCTGATTTTTCGCAGCGAGGACCCGTTTTCGTTCTTCCATCGTAATATCTCGATTACCCCCGAAAGAGGATCGTCGAGACATTCTTCGGTTTGATTTATGTCCAACAAACAAAATACTAAAATCACGATTCAATCCGTCCCTGTCCATTCGGAGACACACAGACTCCTCTTCCATGCATGTCTTCCAAAAAGCTTTGATACACACCCGAATACGACGGAGACAAGTACCCTCGATGTTCATCACTTGTATAATAACTCATCAGCTTCGGAGACGGACGAGCTCGGCGCGGATACGGAGGCACAAACTTCTGCGGCTTCAGCAGCAAGCGCATCGCCAATTTGTTGTAGTGGGAGCACACAATTTGACCTCCGTTCTGCTCGATGGTCTTGATCGCCTCGTTGCTCGCGCGCGAGACATCGATTCGGATCTTCGAGTGGAACTTCTCTTTACCCTATGGTCGGAAATAATAAAGGAAGGTACGTCGGCGAGAAGCTTCACACCATCCTTGATTTGATGAATGGCGCGCGAGTCCACGAGATCTTTCATTGTAATTACGTGGGATGTGTCGATTCGGCCGGCGTCAATCCACTGCTGAAGTCTGTCCAAGTTGAGCGGAGCATAGACGAGCGAATGACTATTCTCAAGGAAATGCACGAGAACTACGGGTTTGTGAAACCCACTTTGGGGATTCTGCGGTAAATCGGGGTCTGTCCTCCGATAAAACCCACGTAGGGGCCGTTCTAGTTAGGGCTACTCAAAATGACTCTGCATAGTACAAAGGATATGGGTCCCGAGCGTGAATTCTGACCGTGCTCTCCTCTTCCTGCGGTTGTTCCCTGACCAGCTGCATTTCCTCTACCCACGCGTGTCTTGCTTTTCTTTGCTCCTGGATTATCTCTAATATATGACAAACGCAAAATGGAGAATTACGCAATCCGATTCAACGTCACAGCAGAAAATGAACGAGCCACACACGAAATTGACAAAGAAGGAATGATGGCGCGTTGTCTCGCCAGCACTCCCTTGCAGAAGGATGCAAACATTGTTTCGAGGGAATTATGCTGAATGTTTGGGATCCCAAACAATAGGGACTGTGAGTTTTATACTATTTCTTCGCTTTTATGCCCGAAACATATTATTGTCATAAATGCAAGTATTACCATTGGTGAGTCCATATTTTCTAGAAGAACGGTATCTGCGACACAACAACCCGATGGCAGTTACCAATGTAGTCAAGTATTATATCGACTAGTTTCATAACCATAGTGCCATGATTATTTTGTGGAAATACGAGATGAGCCCGATGTTCCTCCTGTTAACAACCCGTACAGTTTCTTTTATCGATGTTGAGTATTAGTCCCCCACAAAATATAAATGGAAATACCTTCGTTTTTCAGCCCAACATAGTCAGACTACCCAATGGAACTGTAACGATGAGCTTTCAAACTTCGAGTGGACATATAAATATGGACCATATTGGTCAGCTTTTAAGCATGATTCTAACTGGATTTGATCGTCCGGTATCGTATTCGTATTCGCTCCTTAGTATAGGCCCCAGTACAGCACACATCTCGTAGGTTTATCCGAAATTTAGTTCATCGTCATCCTACTGATGCCGAGCTAGGTATCCAATATGGTAAAATTGTGAATAGAATCCACCCCTACTTGCCCTATTTGTGAGAATGACATTACGAAGGAAGATGAGATCGTCTCTCTGCCCTGTAATCACTTATTTCACCCCAATTGTATCGTTCCTTGGATTGAAGACGTAACGGGATTGATAAACTTTCCATATAGCATAACACTTGTCCCACCTGCAGAGCTCAACTGCCACTTAGCGATGGAGAGGAAGAAGGATAAAAATGTTGTGTTTTGCATGTTTGTTGGAGTACATGGATCGCTAGTCACTGTTCTATTGTAATGAGATGAAACAAACACATATTAACATATAAAAAATGTATTTACAACAACTAACTAAATGAATCATTTTTCAATGTACAATGTCTTCGAGAGCTGGTTCTTCATCAGAATCAAATTCAATCGTCGTGTCTCGATACCAATTTCCCTTCTCATCTCTACATTCAATCCACTCACAAACAAAAGCTACTTCCGAAAACCTTTGGCTAACATATCCTGCTCTTGCTTTCGTGCTTTCGCTATTCATGAGGAATCGACACAATGAATACCTTCTTGGATCCATGAAGGTTCCTTTTTCTCGCTCATTTCAGCAACAGATGCTTTGGATAGGGTGGCTGATTGGAATGGTGTTTTCATTTGGTTGATTTGTTTGTGTACATTCTCAGTTTCCTTAACTCGTTTATTCGGCTCGTAAGAATGGGAAAGAACGTTCTCCATCACTTCATGAGTTCGTTTCAGTATGCTCGGTATGGCTATGGATGTTTTTGGAACTGCTCGCTTTTCTTGTTTTACAGTTTGGATAATCTTCTTGTTTAAAATACGAGACTGATGTCGTTTTCCATGAATATGCGCCTATATAACATTTGATCATACTATTGCTACAGCCAATTCACTGCCCGTCTTGAATGGGGGAAGACCAGAGCAAATGGCACAACGAAATTGACCACTTTCAGTAATAACATATTCGTTTGATGGAAGAGATTCTAGAACCACTCGTGATTGCCATCGTTGAATTGACTGCATGTTACAAGAAAAAAGCCAAACACCCACTTCTTTGTAGCTTGATTCTGACTGTCTTGATCGGTGATGATTTCCATGTACAGTATTCATCCCAGATGAAAAACTGTAAACAAAATTAAAACTCTATCATCTAGAATGGAGTATGGTATCGATTGATTGTGTTGTTTCATTGTAAGCGGATGATCCTGTGAGGGAAGAACACGATATTTACCTTTCCAAGGAGCTTGCTGACCAATTGTATATTTTGCATGGGAATTCGTCATTGCGTAGATACTTACTCCAGTTTCCGTTACGTCCAAGAGGAAGGGAGTACCCTAGCCCTAGTTCGGTAATCCCTTTATTATTTATGTTACGTATAGGCTCGATTTAAGCCCGAAAACGATATTTTGCAATTAGTGTACCAATTACCTCACGACGAGCACTACGACGAACATGCTCCTGAGCGTCAGAATATTAGTGAAATTCGTATTTGAAAAATGAACGAAGTGAAAGTAAGGAATGAAGTCTTCCAGAAATCCCGCAAAAGCGACCTACGCCATCGGCGTAACTCACAAAGGTTCCATTTATTTAACTCCCGTTCTTATTGACTTTTGCCCCTCACGTCCAGATCAAATCCACTCTGGTGATGCGTCCAGACATCAGCTACCTCGATCAAGTGACCGAAGAGGCGGAAGAAGATTTAATCGGCATGGAAGAAGAAAAGCCGAAGCCGAAATCGAAAACGCTCACCGAGGTGCGCGTGGAATACACGAAGCGTCGCAACGACGAGAACCACTTCGGTCCTCTGACCTACGCGGAGCTTTCCTCGGTGCAAAACGAAGAGCCCTGGGTGGTACGCTCTGTGTGTTCAACGCATCACGCATAGACGAAGGAGGTGTTTCCTCCCTCGCATCCGTCCAGTCTCGCGAAGGTGGAGTGTCTGGAGATGAGTTCGGAGATTCCGCTGCCCTCGCCGGCGACGGTGGAGCAGTTCACGCAGGGGATGCGCGAGCAGGCCAACCGGGAGATTATGGACACGGCGGCGGACCCGGCGTGGAAGGTGCTGTCGTCGCCGGATTATCCGGGGAGAGTGGACGCGAAGGAGTGGATCGAGAAGAGAAAACTACGTCATGGGAAGTGAGGAAGGAGTGTGTGGATGTTGGCTTGATTGTTTGTTGGAGAATGAAGAGAAGGGGAGGACGTGCATCGATGGATTGGAAGCCGAGTCTAGATGGATGGCTTTGCTTCCACTCCCTATCCTTCGATTCTACAAGATTTGATTTGATTCTTGTTGAGGATGTAAACAACCATCTATGCTGCCTCCCCCCTAGTTTTCCTTCCTTCCTTTTAAAACAAACACGCTCTATCTTAGGCTGTTTCTGACATATTCATGGGCTTCATATCGTTCGAGATAGTGTTTACTTCGATTTCTCCCTCCTCCTCGGAATCCAGCAGCTTCTCGTTCGGCAGTCCGTATTCCTCGTCGTTCTACGCCTCACCCTTCGCCTTCTCTCTCCCCACCTCCTGGATATCCGTCGCCACTTGGAAGTGGTAAGCGTACGCCGACGAGTTCTCCGACGGCTTCCACATGATCATGATACACACAATGAGCAGGAAGTAATACACGCTCCAGATGCCATCGTTGATGCTACGCTCAACCTCTCTCTCGGTCCCTACAACCACTGATATCTCCACATGTAGTGAGCATAGTCGTTCACCACGATGTAGCTGAACAGAATCAGCGTGAACGTCGCCATCACCACGCTCACCACCAGCAGATTGCGCAGTCGCGTGAAGATGTCCAGCTTCGCCGCCTGCTTCTTCTCCGTCAGCTCGTCCATCGTGTCCATCAAGCTCTGGAAGATCCAGAAATACACCAACGCGTCCATTCTACCGCTCATCCGACCCATTCTGCGCTACCCCGACGTGACCAGCAGACGAATCACGTCCGCATTGGAGTTGTTCGAAGGGTACATATTGCTGTATGAGTCCCAAAAAGTAATCGCGAAGTAGGACACGCCGAAGACCACGAACTTGCAGGTCGAGTTCCCGAGCGTGGCTCGGCAGACGCCCAATCTACGCTGAACGGAAGGAGGCAAAGCGACCCCATGCAGACGAGGAGCGTGAGAATGCGAGTGAGCGCGCGCGTGGTGCAGTCGACGAGGATGGAGAGCAGCACGAGCACGAAGACGTTGTTACCGGTGATGTTGAAGACGGCCAGATAGATCACCTTCACGACGTTGTTAAGCACGAAAGAGATCAGCACCACCATGATGATCAGCTGCACGCTCATGATTTCTTTCGAGTAGGAGATGCACCACATGCCCCAGATCACCAGACACACAAAATAGGCGAGGCAGGTCACCGAGTAGAAGGGAAGACTGCCGTACTGCGTCGCTGGGAGGTGGCCGAAGGGGTTCTCCACCGCCATGCGGCCCTCCATCACCAGAGGGGAAATGTCCGTCTCGCAGCTGTGCGTTAAATCGACCAATCAAATTAAGAAGTACACGGAGGTGAGGACATAGTAGATACCTGTCTTGGTGGGATGGTAATTTACCTTGATCGACGACTCCGAACCACTGGAGTCAAGAGTACAGACGAACAAACGTACCTGAGAGAGGTTCTTTCCAAGAAGGATTCCGATTGCCAGCCTTGCGGAAGCAGAAGATGGTCTTTATTCTTGCAGATCTTGGCCTTTGAATTAGATAACAAAAAAAGGAGCCGTACGGTATAAGCATAATCATCACAACAAGCAATTCGTCTTTTGTTCTTATCAACATACCCAATATTCTTAAAAACCTCCTCTGTGGTGATAAGGGTCTACAGATCAGCGATTACACTAACAAGCACCTCAATAGAACCATGAAGACCACTTGTGGAATTCTTTGGTACAATCTTGATATCGAGACTGATCTCACTCTTGCTACCCTTTCTACAGGCTAATTGAAAGGTCACAATTGTACCTGACACGAGGAGAATCCTTTTCATCGTAAAGATAGACTCCTCTGTAAATCAATGTCATACTGTCCACATTAAAAGCACCGAACTGTGTATTATAACAACTCACAAGAATTGGTAAGGAGAGAAGAATCTTATAAATAAATTCAAAACCTAGAGGGCTTACAAAGAAAAGGGAGCTAGACATAGCTACTTGTTTCCGAAGTCTACTGTATGAACGAGACATGATAACGGTACGGCCAACTTATCCAAAATGTGCCCTAATCGATGATGTAGAATCCCTTTTTTCCTCTTTCTATTGACGTATTCTATATCTCTCCACCATGTTTGATTCTTAAACAAACCAAATCACTTATACTTTCGATCCAAACATAGTTTCCCGGGATCCACTTCTCCTTTCAGCAATTTCTCCCATTCCTGATGGTTCGGAACAATCACCATGTCCCACGCGTCTCCTTCTTGATATGGCTACATTCAAAACAACTATGTAAGAACTACAATTCCATCAAAGGCCAATCGATTCTCCCCTTTCCCATCGACCATCTTGTACGTACGCAGCCACTGCCGCATCTTATCCAGATCCGAGTGGTAGTGCTCGAAAAAGTCGCAGTAGTCTCGAAGCTGCGCACAAACAGGATCTTCCACGTTTACTCCCAAAATCTTCCAATCCATCTCCCCCTGGTCAATGAGAGCGATTGCTCCAAACACTTTCACTTGGTAGATATCTCCTAACTGATGGGGAAGGTAGCTGAAGTCCATGATGTCCAGGGGATCATTATCTCCGCAGAACGAACCAATATCGGTCAGCTCAGTCTTGTGCGGATTCTCCCAGGTCTGAGGAATCGCTCCATAATTAATCATGGAGGGAGCACCGTAAAAGCGCAGCTTTCCATTCTTCTTATCCTGCATAATTGGGTTGAAAGAGAGTTTTGTATTGATTTCTGTTTTGGCACTTTGACTATCCATCACAATTTACTACAAAACCACTCACCCGCGCGGAATCTCCATAATAAAATTCACTACAGCGGGATTACTCTTCGAGTAGGGAGTACTGACATAGCTGATGTCCTATCCATAATAGGAGTAAGCAGTGGCTACATGCCAGGGAGAAACACTTTCAGGAGTCCCGTTAATCACTTCTTTTACATGGCACTTAAAGTCCATATCTTTTCCCAGTGTCCCGCTAGTACATCCTTTCTACATAAAAAGAACAAACAAAACCAACATAAGTTGAAAGCAAACGGACCGCTGAGCGGATGGAAGAAGTATTCAACCGAAACAACTTGGTACTTAACATGATTTTGAGTTGTTTGTCTTGTGGAAAAGAGAGTATATAAGGGGCACCGAAATAGTCGAAAGAGTGCCAAATGGCCGAGTTACTTTTTGGTTATCATAACAAACTACTCTTGTTGTTGTTCGATTCTCAGTTATTCTTTTAGTTTTTTTGTCTCTTTTGAGCACTTTATGAGCAGAAGACTGTCTGTCGGCATAGATCTGGGAACGAGTAACGGCTGTGTATACTATCAGTATTTGCAGCCCCAGTGTGACCGACTTAGCATTAATGGTTCAAGTCCGTTGGTACCAAGTGTTGTAAGTTACGGCGATGAAAACCCAGTTGTCGGCGATGTTGCGAAAATTCATCTGAGCAACAAAGTTAGAGGAATAGGAACAAAGAATTATACTGTAATACGAAATTCCAAGCGAGTCCTGGGGATAAAGTATCGGGATGATTTGGTTGCTATAAGAGAATCTCTGTGTTTTGCCAAGACTGAAAAAGGAGCGGACGGCTTTGTAGAATTTGTCAGTGATGATAAATCGAAACGGTTTACTCCTGTTGATGTTGCTTCCGATATTTTGAGGTTTCTCTGTGTAGAAGTGCAGAAGCTAGGCGGAAAAGTGATTGACTCTTTAGTGGTGACAGTCCCAGCTCGGTTCAATTACCGACAAATAATTTATACATATGATGCGATTAAAAGAGCATTCGATAAACGCACCAAGGTGCTGCTCATTGATGAGCCAACAGCAGCAGCAGTAGCAAGCAATATCCTCTTGCAAGACAAGGATACAACATTTATTGTTTATGACCTGGGTGGAGGAACGTTCGATCTTTCTATTTTGAGGTACAGCAATAACTCCATCCGCTGCTTGAAGACTTCGGGAGATGACTCCATTGGAGGTGTGCTATTTGATGAGGAGCTTCGGAAATACATTCAGAAGGATGAGGATTGGATCGCGTTTATCAACAGTCGGAAACCAAAATCAGTTAAACGCTCTGAAGAGATTTTATTATCACAATGCACGAAAGCAAAGGAGCAGCTTTCTCAAGCGACTAGCGCAGAAATTAGTGTTGGAGACGGCGATTTTACGTTTTCCTTACAGCGGTCTATTTTCGACAATGTGATCAAGGACATTGTACAAAGAACGATCAATATCATGAACAAGGCGATAGCGGACGCAGGACTTGCTCGAGATATGATCGATCAAGTGATTCTAGTGGGAGGATCGACGAGAACATTGCTTGTTCAAGAAATGATAAAGAAGAATTTCGATGGAAGGGACATTGTTATGCATACGCTGGACCCTTGGTGTTGTGTAGCGCACGGGGCTTGTATGATTAGTCGTGCATGGGAACAAAGTAATTTCAATGAATCCCAGATCATCATCAATAACAAAAGTTTTGCTCTCGACATCGATCTTGATGGAATCTTCAGCATCGAGCAATTCCCACAATTAGATGCGCGACCTGATTCGTACTCTTTCTCTTCATCCACTCTTACAGTGGATAAACGACCCGAATCAATTCGTTTCCCTACATTACCTTTTAAAGGGAACACGCGTCCTGACTCAGTTCACTCCCCCACATCCACCTTAACACTGGACATGCGTCCTGAATCAGTCCGTTTTCCCAATATGTTCTTATCTCTGGAGGGCAAGCCAACCTCCGTTCGGTTCACAGAAGCGACGATCGAGCAGTTAAAACAACTCTGTAGGGATCATTCATCCATTCTTTTTTATCATTTGTAGTTCCTTCATCTGAGCCAAGACTCCAGCCTATTGTTTTTAATTGCGAAGGACATGCCCTTTATGAGTACATCGATTCATTTGAATTGGCTGATACTCCTATTACGAAAGGATATACATCCACGTCCGACTATTTCTGTTTGCGGCTCCGTTACGTGTTTGATGGTGAAAATAAGGTTATTCAGAAGATGGTAAGGAAGTCAAACAAAGACGAGGTCCTCAAGGTAACATATAGCCGAATTCTTGAGCAAGGCAAGGATTTATTGAAAATTACTGTAACCAACTTACAAGATATAGAACTAGATAGCGAAATATTTACTCTTTTCTGTATTTGTTGAAAACAGTTTGTTTTATCATGAGTGCATTTTGTGGTGGAATCGATCTTGGAACGAGTAATTCCGTGATTGCAACATATCAGAAGACCGGATCTGACTGTGTAACGACCAAGCAAGGGAAACGTATATTTCCTTCCGTCTTAGCTATCAAAAGAAATAACGAAGTATCTATTGGTGAATCGGCAGTTCCTTATATGCTTTCCCCTGCTCATTTTTCAATTCAGTATGCAAAGCGAGTTATAGGATATCAATACAATTCTGAAAGAGTTAAATTGATTAAAGATATTTGCATTGCAAATATGAGAGAAAGCAAAGATAAAAAGGTTGAGTTTTACAAAGAAGGTTGGGAAGTGACAGAAACCCCTGTTTCTGTCTATGTGAAATTAATAAAACATATGCTAGATCGTTCTGAAGTTTATCGAGGTAGAAAGTTGGATAAAGTGGTTGTTACAATCCCAGCTGACTTTAAACAAGAACAAATCGCTGATACTGAAGAAGCAATTCGCCAAGTTGGTTTTACAAAGGAGAACTATTGCTTACTAAAAGAGCCTATAGCTGCGGCTATCTCTTATGGACTTGAAGGCATGACCGGAAGCTACACTTTGGTATATGATTTAGGAGGAGGCACTTTTGATTGTACGATAATGCAGATCAGTGACGATGTGTTGAAGATCTGTGGTTATGGAGGCGATGAGAAGATTGGAGGTTTAGCATTTGATGAAACGATTCGAGATTGGGTTATTCATGAAGTCAAAGAAGTTACAAACATGGAAATCTATGATTCTAAAAGCATAAACTATCAACGGAGAATGCAAAAACTACTAAAGAAATGCCGTGAAGCCAAAGAAGGGCTGGTCGAAGCACAGTCTTATGAAATCGATCTGAGCGATATTGCCAGTGAAGAGATTTTGGAAGGGATGGAACTGATAGACTTGACAAGAGCCAAAATGGATTTTCTTCTGAGTCCGTTTATCAAGCGTACGATCGAGGTGATAGACAACACGATCGAGAAGGCAGGACTTCATCAAGAAGACATCAAGCGAATTCTGATGGTGGGCGGTTCTTCTCGTTTGCGATGCGTTCATTCAGCATTGACCAAACATTTCGGATCATCGGTTTCTCTCAAGTTCAACGTCAATCCAGACGAAGTTGTGGCTTTGGGCGCGGCAACGTTCTGCCACATCTGGTCGGAGAGCGACCATGACTTTAGCATTCCTTTCAATGGTCGACGAATCAAACTAGTGGAAGTACTGACGGTGACGCTTGGATTCCGAGGAAGGAATGGAGAGATGGTGGTTCTGGCAAAGAACGGCGATCTTGTGCCTCGAGGACCGCTTCGCAAACTCCTCGCCACACCCGTCGACAATGCGCAGTGTATGCGAATGGAGTTCTACCAGGGAGAGAAAAAGACGGCCGAAGAGAACGTCCGACTGAAGTGCATCGAATGGTCGAACTTCCCCTCGCTGCCCAAAGGCAAAGTGAAATTCGTTCTTTCGTTGTTTTACGTCAATTCGCTGTGGGAGTGCGAGGTCCGAGACTTCTACACAAAGCAGATCTATGTGGAGAGACAGCGAATATAATAATAATAATAAGATTGTATACATTGAATTCTGGTTGTTTGTTGTGGAACTAATTATGGATTGGTTTGGAGCGATAAGATATCGAAGAGGGAGGGCTATTGGGGATTAAACGTGGTTTGGATGAACTGTATTTCAAATGCTAAAGGTTGATGAAGAAATGAGAGAAATGGATGTGTTTTGTATTGGGATGAATCTGGTTGTTAGTTTGTTACCAGGAAATGGCTTCATTATTCGGTTCACTCTATTGTCATATTGCATGCATCCAGATAGAACATCATAAATAGAATCATCTCCATCACAAAATAGAGGAAAACGAAGAGTTAGACAAAATGACTACGAACTATGGTATATATACTACAACATTATTCACCAAACGAACAGTCATCATGGTAATATGACATTTCGTTGAATACTGCAAACTCATAAAACAAAATGTCTGGAAGGGGAGATAACACTGTACATCTCAAATGAATCGCCAATGACCCCTAGGTGAGAAATCGAGATCCAGCACCCATTCAAATCACTGCTGAGCAACTTTTGCGAGATACAAAAGAACGTCAGTCTTCTGAAGTGAAAACGCCTATTCAGAAGATTCAAAACTCGGAGGTATATAATAAATGTGCAAATCCGATGTGTATAGGAATTGGCCGAATGGAGATTTCTTCAGCGTCGTCACTTTGAAGAAGGTATAAAGAATCAGAGACAGCACATGGGAAACTACATAAAATATACAAAATGGGAAGAGAAGCAGGTAAGTGTGTATATTGTTGATCGAATGACAGGATGAAATTGAGAGATCCCGAAACATATATGAACGTGCATTGGACGTCGATCCGACAGCTTATTCTGTGTGGATAAAATATGCGGAGTTTGAGGTGCGAAATCGCAACATCAATCATGCTCGCAACGTATACGACCGAGCTGTAACGATTCTTCCTCGTGTGGACCAACTTTGGTAGATTGTTGTTTTTTCTCCTCACCCAGGTACAAATTCGCATAGCTTGATATACCATAATTTAGCGATGAGACCATTAGCTACCTTTTTCTTTTTAAACAATTCATCCTTTATTTTAGTTGAGAGATTGGGAGGATTACTACTTGCAGAACATCTGGTTTATGAGAATTAGTGAACTATATAAACTCGTTGGTTTCTCTGAATTATAGCAAAAAAATCAACGTTTTTCCTACACACATCCCCATAGAAAATCAGTAATAGTTTATGCTTGTTGTTCATGTGGCAGCTAAGCAATTTACTATTAGATGATTAGTTTATTATTATTATTATCATCATCATCATCAACAACAACAACAACAATTAAAATAACAATAATCACTAGTTTAGTTCATCATTACGATGTGGATTGCTTATAACTAGGAATAAAACGAATAATTGAAGAAAATGATTTCTCAATCAAAATAGTCAATCCAATGATACAGAAGATCGATATCCTAGATAATTCCATTTTTCAAAAGAATATAGGAAATATGTGGCTAGAAGAGATAAAACTGAAGAATTTCCATAATCCACAGGATAGATAATAATAGTGTGAAATTGTAAAAATAAAGCCTATTTTTGGATTATTACTATACGTTTCATAAAACGTATTTATGAAAACTCATTTCGTTGTCTACAAAAAGCACAACACGTCTTTAGTTATTTATGTGCCCCTTGACCCTGCAATCCACAACAACTTTGGAATATCACAACATCACCACAAAAATGGAATTACAGGCCACCAATCCTTAGAATGGGCGAGTAGCTGCTGTCGCAGGTGGTACAAGAAAGCATTTCTTACATATTCAATATTAACTGACTCTTTCTGTAGCCTTTCCGAGGTTATTTCTGTACATTGGCTTAACACAGAGATATAACAGTGTGGTGTTTATTAGTGCGAATAGTACTAATTAAATAATCTGCATTATTACTGGTTACCACAAAATAAAATTGCTACTTCAATTTAGTATCAATGAAGGCCTTTATTTTGGTTTTATTGGCTGTTTTACAAACAGTCTTGTCATTCTCACGCTATCCGTGTTCTCCTCTGGGCTATAAGAAATATCTGGAGGAATATTCTTCAAAAAGTATCTCTGAATCGGATAGTCAATATGCGTAGCGTTCAATATTAGATTTGATCACTAGTACGTATTACAAGAACTATTTGGATTCCTGTCTGTTAATCGATTCCAAAAGTCTGTATCGCTCCTACAAAATGGACTTGTCGATTTTGTCTGACTTTAATGATGATGATTTGCTAATGATGATGAGTCTCACAAAAACATATACTGGCGATGGATCGTATGCTGAACCTGTGCCGGTGGAACACGACGGAGACTATGAAAATGAATACTTATTTGTTCCTGACATGTGCGGCGGAAACGAAGAGTTTTCTATTTCTAACACGCGTCCTACTTCTTGGGCTACAGCGGTCATTGCTGCTGCGCAAACATCCTTAAATAAGGAAGGCATTACGGATGAACTGTCTTTGCCTTATCTTGAAGAATGCCTTGTCAAAAACATGGAAACCGAGGATCGCAATGTGACAGATGTGATTATCCGGCAGTTTTTGCAGGATTACGGTTTGATGACCAAAGAAGTTTATGACAGCATCGATAAGGAATATTTATGTGAAGATACAAGTGCTAACTATCGGTTTACGACGGAGGCTCTCAGCGATATCAATAAGAGTGGTCTGATGAACATGATCAACAAAGGTGATCCCGTTATTGTGCTCATGGCTCTTGATTTGAACACACTGAAGACCGTGCATAGCGATGTGGAACATATTTACAAGGGAGGTGCATATCAGCCCTCTGTTTATGGTATTGCCTATGGATATAGCATGGACAATTATTGGAGTGTTAGCATGAATGTGGTTCCTTGCGAAAATATCCGACTCCACCTTCCTATGACAGCAAATGAAACCGACGCCAATTATGCTGGTATTGCTGGATTCGCGTTTTCTTTGAAAGTCGATCTTAGTCCGCCTGGAACGATTCCTATGTATCTGTATATGAACTACGATACAGACCCTACCACACAGTCTTTCCAAATTTACCGATCTACGCTTAAGCATAATAAAAGAGTCTTGTTCGAGGAAATTGGAAAGGAAGGAGTTTACCACACGGTTAACAGAGTTTATGTTTCTCCCTCTTACCATTACATCCGATTGGCTGATTCTGCTCAGGACAGCTGGCCTCAAGGCGTCAATCTGACTATTGTTTTTGGTGAGAAACAAACAACTTTATCAATAGCATCTGGAAAGAGTTTGGAGGGTTTGATTCATCCTACCAAGGGATTTATTGAATCTAGTGAGATCAATGAAATAGCCTCTTGCAGTGGTATAGACTCGTTACCCAAAGACGAAATTCAGTATCTGAGCTTAAATAAACAAGATGCTTGTACTGACTATACTTCCAATGTGCTTGATTTAAGTGGTTTCACAAATCTGATCGGGTTTAGTACATCCATTAAGAATTTCTATACAGTTGATACCTTCATTGCTAAAGATATGGAATATCTTGAATCCATAGTATTGGGCTATAATAATTTTGCTGGAACTACTGGTGGATCATTTACTATTACAAACTGCCCTAATTTGAAGACTCTTTATTTAGAAGCGGGAGTTGCTACAAACTTCGATTCTTTTGAATTATTTAATCTCCCCAAGCTAGAATATGTCGAATTTGGTATCGATAGCGATAGTGGAAATAATTTTAGAAATGCTCCCATGGTCTTTAAAGGTATTCTCTGGTTTGTATCGCTCATTTGCAGATCTTCCTGCTCTGAAATTCTTATCTCTGAAGGATGGCGCTTTCTTCGGCCAAGGAGATGCTACTCTTATGAGTTTACTTTCACTTATTGCTTCACTGTAAGATCTTCCCAGCCTGACCACCATTGTGCTTGGCAAGAATGTCTGCCGTTCACAGTTCACCAGTTCTCCGACTGTTGTTATGCAAAGTAGCCGAAACGATTGCTTTTCGATGTAGATCTTCCATCTCTGACTAGTATGACAGCAGGCTTTCAATCCTTTTTATACACCAAAACGGTTACATTAGATAGTAAGCCTTTGGATTCAGTGATAACCAGATATTCCTAACCTCTATCATTTGGAGTTAGATACTAAATGCTTTAGCAAGGTGACCACTAAAACGATCAATAGTAGGAAAAAAGCTCATGCTTTAGATTTTAGATGTGTCTCCGATACTTAACGAGTTCTTTTCATAAAGAAGAATAAGGATGAGAGCTGAAAAGAAGATAATTGTTTGTTAGGAAACATTAATAGATGCTGGAAATAGCTTCGAATCATAGAGAGTTGTGTGTCGCTCCAATCTGTTTAGGGGAGTGAATACTAGTGTGGCATTCACTTTCTATTGTATCCATTTTTGTTATTTTTAGTTCAAATTTTCAAGGTGATAAATCGTTGAAATACGATATTCTTTGGTATCGACTCGGTTATTATTGCTGTAAGCGATCTATTTTACAAAGTGTAGAATACAGACCTGAATTTTAGCTAAACAAACTGCATTATTACACCTATAAAGAATATAATATAGGATTATAGCAATAGGAGTACATTATTCCGATTAAGGACTTTATCGTTACAACGAATTGAAGACAATGATAATCTCAACTTAATAACGCCTCCTTATTGGCGAGTAACAAACGTATGGTTCTTGATTCTAAGAAAAAAAGATGCGCAAGTTGGGATTTGTTTCTTAATCATTGTTGTACTCAAATTGTAAATAGATCTATTTATATACACTACAGCTGCAAGTTGAAACAATCCACTTGATTGATTACAAAGAAAATTCCTACTTCATTCAAAATACCTTCGAAAAATGCCATTTAGAAAATGATTTGGGTTTTCGTACTTTCTTTTTGTCTCAAAATCTATATTTTGAAAATGAATTATGTTCACAATCCTAATATTTGTAGTGTATCTTCTTTTAGACTCGCCTACCTTTTAATTCTGCTTGTGATCACTCAATCTTTGCCTACTCTAAATATGACGGATTCTGAAGGTAGAGAATGTCGAGATATTACTATCCATGTGATAAACGAGACATTTCCTGCGACCATTATGTGTTCTAGTGATGCTGAATGGAGTGTTCAACCTGATCTTCCAAAGGGTCTTATGGCAAAACCGTATAAGGATATTTGGAGAATATTCGGTTTAGCCAAAGCCACTTTACCCAAAACAACGTTTACAGTAACTGCTGTTACTCAAGAAGGTGTTGCATCAATTACTTTCAATCTTACTTGTAATGGATGTGAAGACGGAGATATATATGAAATTAAGGCGGTAGGGCAGATTCGATTCAGTTATCAGGAAGAAAACATAGACGTCAAATATAATTGTTGGCAATGTATGAAGAGAGTTGTCTACACGTACACTTCATTTAATAAGTATAGTCATATCTACATGTATGATGCTCATGACCAATGTGTTATGCATTTGTCAGCCATGGGAATCACTACTGGTGAGCTTGATTTAACTGGAAACAGTCCTCCCTTATTATTCCTCCCTAAACATATACAAGTTAACAGTACCACACAGAAATATGCCAATATTGATTATGTAAATCGTGTTACCAATATTACTTTGTATCCTCCTCACCCAAAGCTAAAAATATCTGGTAGTGAGCTGGCGATCAGTATTGATACATTTTATGAAGCAAACCACATTATAACTGTATCTAACGAACATGGAAGTGATTCTCAGTCCTTCCATTTGAGTGTATTTAAATGTAATGAAGGATTCTTTTACAATGTACTTCATCTCGGATGGGGAGAAACCACTATCGTAGATTCTAAGAATAATACTATATACAACGGCAAGCAAAACTATTTTTGCACATCCGAAACTAATATGACACTATTGTTCGATAAAGAGAGTGACCATATCGAACTTTTGAGGCCAGTCATTTTGTATGACCAACATGGTATTGTAGCGGAATACAATACAGATTCTGTTCCTTCCACCTTCCATTTCCATAAGCAAGTTGTTGTATCTACTTTCTCTACTCTTCGAATTTCGCATTCATTCAAAGAAAACTGGAATTCCAAGAGTTTTGATGATTCTTCATGGAACGAAGATCAAGGCCAAATATGGGGATTATTCGATGGAGAGAGAACCTATTTCCGTAAACAATTCACTATTGATTCAATGACGGATTTCAACACCATGTTAATTGACGTTTTAGCTATGGGTGATGTGGATGTATATCTCAATGGCGATTACGTTAAGCATCTCTTTGGAAAGACATATTACACATATATTCGATTCGAAATCCCACTTGAGGATTGTCACAAAGGAGAAAACGTACTCGCTGCTTGTTTACACAAAACTACTGATGATAACATTATCAATTTTGACATAATGGTTCAACTCCTTTTCACACCTCAAATACTACAATCTGTATTGGGAGAGGTAACTCAGGAAACGGCCACTCCTTCTCCAAACCCGTTCAATGCTTTCATTCAAACAAAATATTATAGTTGGCTACTGCAATCTGTTCCTGCAGCCATGGTTTTCCGCTTTAATGATACAGAAAAGCGAGTCGTGAATCGTGTTTACTTCCAAGTTCCTTCTGATAATTTCATTACCAAAGTAAAAGTGGAAGCCATTGATCTAGATGAAAACAAGAATCTGACACTCTATTCTTCTCCTAATGATTTCATGAATCGATTTATGAATTATCGTGTAATCGATTTTGACAATTCGAATGCCTATCCGGCATATCGTATTACGTTTGAATCTACATCAAATACGAATTCGACTAAGATTGAGAATCTTCGTTTGTATCGCGATATGATTCCCACCTGTCCACACACTAAAAAGATTCCTGAAACTCGGGGGAATGCAACGGTATTTTCAAGCTGTGGTTTATTCTATACTGGAAAAAAACAAAATCGATGTGTAGTGGATGGATCGAAAACCCACTGGGAAGAGGATCGGTCAACGTGCTTATCTCGTTTACCTCCACGAAATTATGCTTTCGTTGATTTCACACTCCGATTGGTTCATGTAATACCTTCGATGTTCAACTCAACAATGAAAGATGGGATTGTTGCATTACTTGTTGAGAAAACTGCGGTTCGACCCGAAGAGGTCAATATTATATACATAATGGATAGTTCAGATACCGAAAACAGTGGCATTGATGTACTAATGCGAATAACTGTCAAACAGGCAGGAGGGGACTATATAGCTGAGCAATTGGATGAGTTGAGATCCAATCTTACAGATTCAATACATATATTTATAGCAGAAGAATTGGATGGAATGATCATTGGCAAAATACAAATTTACATCTCTTGGAAACCTGAACTGATTCTTTTGATTTTGATACTAATTATAGTTTTGTTGATACTAGTAGTATTTGCAATCTATGGAGTTTCTGCTTACATAAGAGATCGTAAACAGAAAACGAGATCACTGAAGCGCCGTAAAATAAACGAAGAAGAATTGCTTCCTAATCAGGAGTGGAATGTTTTTTATATACATGAGGTTGTTGAAAGATGAATTAGCCATACTACAAAAACTATTTTTAGATGTTATAACTACATAATGCGTTACACTAAGAATGAATATGTATTATGGAATGTTATTCACAGAATAATACTAGCTTCATATGAATGCCATCTAGATATAACCATACTGTAATGATTAATGTCTTTCTATGCCCTCTAGTTTCAGAACCCAAATCAACTTACTGGTTTTAAACCTCTATATCTGCCTTTTGTCACAATTCATTTTTTACTAGCAAACGTTTACCATTTTCCCTAAAGTGTTTTATACAAAAAAGTAAAAAGCATAATAGTCTTGAATACTTATAAAAACTATTGAGAGTATTTTCTACTAGTAGTCTAGATAGGTTCTTCCCATCTAATACACGAATCAACCAAGATCTGATTATTGTCTTTGCATTTTTCGATAATGTGAATAATTCCCCATTCATCAATTGTGTAAATAGTGACAAAACTAAATACAGAAGATCGGGAAGATCTGTTTTCTTCACTTTTGTATTTTCCTATCATACTGAATTGCCCTTGTTTCCCATTAGCATAACAGTAGGATATATCTCCATGGTAGATGGCGCAACTCTTGCAATTTTGCAAAATGGAGCAATAGTCAAGATAAGGTTTTACTTGTTCACATTTGTATTCAATATGAGTACGACTACGGATTAAGAATTCGATCTGGCTACCCATTAATTCTTCACTTAATCGACAAATAGAGGGAAAATTCAAGTTCAGTTTTTCAACAAGACTTAGACAAGCTCCACAAGCAACAGCTTCATCAGGATTTACAGCTTTGCTCAGTTTTTCATATCCAAACAGTTGTCTCAAACGATCTCTTATTATTGTTAATCGACTCGATCCACCAATCATTACGACGCGATCAATATCAGAAACATTCATATTGCAATCCGTTATACATTTTTGAACTATCTCTATTGTATGATCTAATAGTTCTTTTACACAGCTATTCAATTCTTCACGAAATACATCTAACATGATTTCCTCTTCAGAATCAGAATCAGACTCAGACTCAGAATCAGAATCATTTTTGTTATGAATTCTAAACATACTCAAATCAATTTCAACAGTTTCAAAGTTTGATAACTGCTTTTTTGCATCTTCTGCGATTGCATTTAGTCGGCAATAATAGCGACGACGAATTCTTTCGTCATTTGTATCGATTAAGGGCACATCATTTTCTTCTTCATATTTCTTTTCGATTTCTTTTGCAAATAAAGAATCAATATCAGCATTTCCCAAAAATGAATTACCGGCGTATTTCAATACTCTATAATCATCTCCTTTGACTCTCACTATCGATACATCGAAAGATTCATCTCCCAAATCATATACCAGAATCGTTTGATTATCGATTTTGTTCGATTTGCAAAAATAGAAAGCGGCTGCAGTAGGCTCATTTATCATTGTCAGTCTTTCTTTTGAAATGCCTGCTTTTTCTACGGCCAATAGAGTAGCAGTACGTTGATAGTTATCAAAATATGCAGGAAATGTCACTGCTATTTTTGTACATTTCATTTCATCACCATATGCTCTCTTTACAAATTCATCAGCCTTTTCAACAACTCGTTTTATTATTTCTGAAGATACATCGCTGGGAGAAACAAGAGTTGTATTATCAATCACGAAAACTGGCTTTTTGTTTACTTCCTTTATTTCTGCTCCACATAGATGATCCTTTACACATTTCTGCACAACTTCATCTTTATAATACCTTCCGATTATTCTTCTTGAATTCTTTACAACTCCAGGTAAACCGTAAGTAAGATGTTTATAGGCAGCTGAACCAACATCAAATGGTTTACCATATTTAACACATGATTTTAAAAAATGACTACTGTCAGAATATGATATAACTATCGGGTCTGGAGTTCTGGAAGTCATAATTGCAGCACAAGTATTCGTGAGGCCAAGGTCAATTCCAAGAACATACTCATTTCTTTGTAAATTCATGTTAAAACTAAACTGATATAGTTCTGTATTGTTCAGAAAATATCATTATTATTTATTTTTTCCTTTATTATTTCCTGTTTAGTGTATTTATGGGCATGGAGTAATTGTAAAATGCAGTTCATATTTCCTAGTGGTCTAACAAAATCGAAAGTTCACAGGATCCTCAAAAAAATATATAACATCCCTACTTTCCTTTTCCTTTTGCTTCTTGTTAATGATATACACCTTACTACTACGTAAGGATGTCCCAGAAACAAAATAGAACGTCAAATACCAAGTTTTGTTCATTTGAAGGAAACTCACCATTCTCGTCTATTTTATTCGCTACCTCTACAATACTACCCTATGTAACATGCAGCCACATAATAATGAAAACATCAACCTCTGTAAAACAAACATTCCATAATTACACTTTCTTCCTCGAATTCAAGTAGCCTACTCCTCATCCTCCTCCTTCTTCCATACTTTGCTGGTCCTTTGTTGACTTTTTATACTGCGCCAAATCTACTTCAAAGCCTCTTTCCATTCCCACTTTGCACATCTTTCCTCAGCTGCTCACGTATCTCTTCCGAAGTCTCGCTTTGTCCTCTCGCCGCTTTTTCTAAACTCTCTCTCGCTTCTTCTGAAGCGATCCACGCGGGGTAAATCGGAGTACTAAACACCCAGTAATAACTATATGATTATCAAAGCAAAGAAAAATCACCATTCGTTTTTACTCTGACGGAATGCTTCCAACTTCTTCATCCAGTGCAACACACAATAGTTTTCAGGATGAACCAGCGCCATCAGGCGATTAATGCCATAATGTTGAGCCATCTACCCTTCAATTCGATCAGAATTCCTTACGACACTTAAATAATACAGAATACAAGAACCGATTTTATGGCCATGCTTGCTATCCACCACCAAAGCAGCCCATTCCGCTTCTTCAAGACATAAATCGTCTTGAATGAAGCGACCGGATGCAACTCCATGCCACTTTCCGTTCTCATTGATCAAAACCCCGATCGCGAAATGAGTATCGAAATTCACTGTGCAGAGATAATCGAGAGAGGAGTCTTGAACGTGGGTAATAACGGAATAGAAGCGAAGGGAAAGAGAATGTTGAGATATCTGCCCAGTTTCGATATCTAGGATGAAGAACAGTCCGCTCAACAGTACGATCTTTCATTACTTGCTTGTCTGTTGGAAGAATAGGCCGTATCATGATACGCTCTCCATCTGGAAGTGTAACTCTTCATGTGAATCGTGCAGGAGATTTACATGGTGGAATAACGTTCCAAAGAATTTAGTAGCTCTTCTTCAGCGTTATGGAGGGCTAGATTCGAGGGATCAAGCGGCGTGGAGGAATTCAACAGTTTCCTGTAGTTATCTAGAATTTCCTTTAAATTTGTATTTTTAGGCCGATTTTCTACCTAATCACTAAATAGATATTCCGATACGTGGGATCTCAGTCAAAACTGCTTTTTCTTCACTCTGTAAAGAGTTTCCAGTAGATCTTGCAGCTTCTTCTGAACGATCTGAACCATGAAACAGGTTTTTGCAAAGCTTCTGACAAATCCAGTTCATCTTACGCACACGAGTTGTAATATATTGCAAAAACGAGTCGTATATACCAGTGCAATAAGTGACTAAAATCCACTCACTTTTGACAACAAATAATAACAATCAAGGCTTTTTTACGTAAAATGAATATTTCTATCTAAAAAGGCGTCCAACAGTCGCATGAAGTCCTCAATCGACATCTTCGAAGCACGCTGTTGCCCAAGTTCGCCTACACCTAATGAACCGCTAATACCCCAACATGAATTCAAAACCTCCTCCACAACCTGCTTAATATCCATATCTCCACGCGGCTACATCTCACTTCCCCTCCTTTTCACTACAATATCCTTCAATGCACAGTACATCTCGTAGTTCTTCTGCAAAAGCTCTAAAACGCTTTTATTCTTGAAGATGGCCGCCAATGTTTTATTCTTTCGATGAAAGCAGATGTTCACCAAGCCGTCCCACTCTTCAAAATTCACTTCAGGACGAGGATTCAGCGGCTCGATGCGACACACACGCGATTCGACTTTAGGGGGCGGATTGAAGTTGTTGCGACCCACTTTGAGGAGTTGCTGGGTCCGAGCTAAGAGTTGGGTGTTTACGGAAATTCGGGAATACATGTTATCCCCGGGTCTATGGGAGAGGAAGGTGAATGAGCCTACTTGGCACAGAGACGTTGAGTAAATTCCTCTTGGAACATGAGAATCGCTGCTCTAAATATGGGGCGGTGTTGCAGCAGCTTGAAGACCACTCCGGAAGAAATTACGTAGGGAACATTGGAGACGCAAAGATCAAAGTAGGGTAACTCGACCTTTAAAAAGTCGCCATAAACTATCTCCAGGTGAGACTCATATTCTCTGCAACATGAACCAACTTACTAATCATACGTTCCCTGTACTTTCTTTTGTATCTCATGCACCATACGTTCGTCCTTTTCGATTGCTATCACCTTTTTGGCCTTTTTCAATAGCTCCATAGTGAGAATACCGGCTCCTGGTCCGATTTCCAAAACAATATCAGTAGGCTTTATTCCCGACTTTTCTATAATGTTGTGTACCACAGAAATGTTCTTAATAAAGTGCTGACCCAAACCTCCTTTCGCTCCAGATGGAGCAGCTCCCGAATGAATTCTCTGTGTGCGTTGACGTTCTGCTTTGCCCATCACAAGCCTAAAAAAACAATTATGGATTCGCAACAAACACGCAAAACCTAAAACCTTTCTTAATCTTCATAATCCACGCTCAGCAGTGGAACGCTTTCCCTCGATTTTTCCTTTCCTTGCATCCGATTGTCCAAATGTCTCCCGACGCACTTCAGCACCTCATCGATGAGAATCACCGGGAAGGAGAACGCCAGCACCAGCTTCCAGTCGTGGAGCGTGAGCGGCGCGACGGAGAACACTTTGGCCAAGGGCGGGATGTAGAGAATGGCGAAATGGGCGACGAACGAAGCGAGGATGGCGGCCACGAGATAGAGATTGCGATGAGGCGGGACGACGAGGAGGGAGCAGTCCTCGGAGAGCGCGTTGAGCGCGTTGAACATCTCGATGGTGACCAGAACGGTGAGCGAGAGCGTGGAGGCGACGACCTTTCCCTTCTCGAAGTAATCGCAGGGCTGGGCGAAGCCGCCCCATCCGTCCAGGGAGAACTCGGTCCACGCGCGGCATTTCCCGTGGCCCATGAGCTGGGCGAGGGAGACGAGGGGATGGGCGTCGGGGGCGCGGTCGAGCACGTACCAATAGACGAAGATGCCCACCGTGGCGACGCCCACGTAGAGCCCGATCACCACGTAGCGGAAGAACACGAAGGGCGTGATGAGGCCTTCGTCGCGGGCGCGCGGCGGACGCGCCATGATGTCGGGCTCGGGCGGGTTGAAGCCCAGCGCGGTGGCCGGGGGCCCGTCGGTGACGAGGTTGACCCAGAGCAGCTGGACGGGGGAGAGTCCCTCGGGAATGCCCAGCATGGCCGTGAAGAAGATCGAGGCGACCTCGCCGATGTTGGAGCTGATCAGATAGCGGATGAACGCCTTCATGTTCTGGTAGATGGACCGGCCCTCCTCGATCGCCGCCACGATCGTCCGGAAGTTGTCGTCCACCAGCACCATGTCCGAAGCCTCCTTCGCCACCTCCGTACCGCTCACCCCCATCGCCACGCCGATGTCCGCTTGCTGCAGCGCCGGCGCGTCGTTCACGCCGTCCCCCGTCATCGCCGTGATCTCCCCCATCTGACGAAGCAGACTGATCAGTTCCTTCTTGTGCACCGGCTCCGAACGCGCGAACACGCGACCCCCATGACCCGCCAAAATCCGAAGCTGCCGCTCACGAGGGAGTTTCATGAACTCACGCGCTACGTGTCACCGAAACGTGGAAACGTGGAACCGAGGAAACTCTTCTGGGAGATGTCTTCGGAGGGCTCGAAGATGCCCACATCGCGCGCGATGGATTCCGCCGTGACGAGATTGTCTCCGGTAATCATGAAGACGCGGATGCCGGCCTTCTTGCACAGCGCGATGCTGTCGCGGACTTCGACGCGTGCAGGATCCTTGATGCCGACCATGCCGAAGAGGCAGAGATCCTGCTCGATGGCTTCGAATCCGCTGATGTCGAGGAGCTTTCTATGGATGGAGCGAGGAAGGGATTGAAAACTTGTGTGCGGGATGGTGAGGACCGTTGTAGGAAGCCAGGTCGCCCAGCTCGAGCTTGCCGGCCATGGCCAAGCAGCGAAGCGCTTTGGCTGACATGGAGGTCACCACGGACTCGAAATGGCGACGAAGTTCGGGAGTTAGCGGCAGGATCGTTCCGTTCTATTGGAAATGAGGCGTGCAAGACAGAGCGAACCTCCGTGCAGAGCGACGTGCAGCGAGCCAGAATGTTCTCGGGAGCGCCTTTGACCAGGAGAAGGTTGTGTCCAGACACGTTCTGCGAGTGAAAAAAGCGCCGATTTTTGGACTTTGGGGGCACAGATGACCGACATGGATTTGCGAGAGCGCGTGAACTCGAGGGTGGCGAGCACGTCGTAGCGGTCTCTCCAATATCTTGTTGCGATTTGGCACCGCAAAGCCGGGTTTTGTTTCATGGCGTTCACGGCGTGCATGTCCTTCCATTCATTCATTTCCGCTCCGTTTACCACGTCCGCGTTCGCGGGCAGACCCAATTTCTCCACCAGCACTTGCAGCGCCGCCTCCGTCGGCTCGCCCACCGCTTTAAACCGCATTTTCTGCTCATCGAACTCGATGGCGGCGTCATTGCACAGCGCGCAGACCTTCGCGACGTTGCACAATCCCACGTCTTCTACGCGCCATCGCCCCAACTCCCCATTCCTACGCGTATCGAATCGCTTCAACTCGCTAATGCTTCCCTCCGGGTTGTACGACACGCCGTCCACGTTATGCAGCACCGCGTGTCCGTCGTTCGCCACATTCACCAGACTCACCACGGTCATTTCGTTCGTCGTCAGCGTCCCCGTTTTGTCCGAGCAGATCACCGTCGTGCAGCCCAGCGTCTCCACCGACGGCAGCTTCCGCACGATGCAGTTCCGACGCGCCATCGACCGCGTTCCCAGCGACAGGCACAGCGTGATCACCGCGGGGAGGCCTTCCGGAATGGCGGCGACGCCCAGCGCCACGGCCACTTTGAGGTAGTAGATGCAGCCGCGGAAAAAACCGCCGAATTCGGGATCGGTGAAGTGCCGGAAGTTCATGATCCAGACGATGACGCAGATCCACATGATCACTTTGCCCAGCCACTCGCCGAATTCATCGATCTTCTGCCCGAGCGGGGTCTTTTCTTCGTCTTCCCGCGCGTCCATGACGGCGCGCTGGATCTTTCCGATCTCCGTGTTCATGCCGGTCCGCACCACCAGCGCTTTGCACAGCCCGTTCGCGATCGTGGTGCCTGCGAAGAGCATGTTCACCTTCTCCGACAGACCCGCGTCCTCGGCTACCGTCGCGTCGGCCGTCTAGAAATCAGAGTGGAAACGGAGAACGACTTTGGCGATCGTTTTGCTCTCGCCGGTGAGAGCACTTTCTTCCACACGCACCGTGGTGGTCTTCAGTTGCAGCACGCGACAGTCGGCGGGGACTTTGTCGCCTACCTGAATTTGGATGATGTCTCCGGGCACCAGCTTGGAAGAAGGAAGCTCGTGATACCACTTGCCACCACGGATACATCGTACTGTTTCACTCTGCATCTCTTTGAGAGCTTTAAGGGCATTGGCTGCATTGTTCTCTTGCCAAACTCCGATAATCGCGTTGATGATCAGAATCAGGAGAATCACGAACGGCTCCACGAATGCCGTAATGCCTTCTCCGTTATTTTGAAAGATGGCTAGAACGAACGAAAAAGCGGCGCTCGCAAGCAGGATTTTGATCAAATAGTCATCAAACTGTTCTAAAACGAGTTTCCACATGGGTGTAGGCTTTTCCTTGTCGAGTTCATTGGGGCCATTGATGTCTAAACGACGTGCGGCCTCTTTTTCAGTTAATCCTTCATTTTGACTAGTTTCGTAATAACGTAAGCATTCTTCAATCGAATTGGCATGAGCGGAATACGATTTTAACATGTTCATTCGACTAGAGATTTGTTACGAAAAGAGAGAATATACAATGCTAATCAATGTGTCTCTGTATGGATTATAGATATAGCAGTCCAACAATAAGAAATAACTTAGGAGGACTAAACTCTATAAAAGAAGAATAGCAAATCATGGAAATGAGATTTTACCACATATGACGTTTTCCCACTATGGCTATTAGATGAGTCTATTGACGTAATTATTGGAAAAATGAGAAATGAAATGATATCCCTTGTTTTTCTCTGAACTTAGCTGTATAGCCAGATGGAAAAACTGAAAAAGTATCATTCTGTGAATTTGCAGTTTTCTATATTCACTATGCAAACAATATGGACCCGAGTAACGATTTTGACTTCGCCCAGACTATGATAGCATGTTCCTTAGAATCACAGATTCGATCTAATTTGGAGAATCTCACCGATGTAGCAAGATTTGGACAGATCGTGAGGTCGAATACAATTTTTCCTTCGCCTCTTCGTCTCAGTTTTGCATAATATTATTCATGAATAGTACAAAACAAAATTCTGAAGGAATCAAACCTCTTGAGAGTGATACAGAAGAAGAGGGTTGTGCAATACTGGCATATTACTGATATTTTAGTGAATGAACAGCTTGATATGAAGGAAAATACCAACGAGACTGTTCCCACTCAGCAAACCTCCATCACCCAATATTTCAGTGTAATACTCTGATTTTCTCGAGTAAGTGATAGCGTTCTAAACGTGGAACACACAAAAAGTCTCCAAAGCACACAAATGAAAAGCTCACCTCGCGAAAACGAAAACGAGATGGTCAAATGGTTCTCTTACTGGGTCAAAAGGTAAATTACATCATGATCTGTTATTTGCAGAATACGGTTATCCGATGTCAACTCTGTGGAATGGTGTATGATTCCATTAATCAGGAGGATGTTTCGTTTCACAAGAGCATTTGCAAGCGAATGGCAGAGAAGAGGGACTAGCCGAAATAGTGATACGAAGAATCATGAGCAATGCATCCGTTTTATTGATAGAAATCAAGGTACAAAACAGGAAATAATGGGTAGTATTTGTGTTGCAGAGACAACACAACGAGGAACGCAATGGGATGAAATCCTTTGAGTATATGAAAGAGCAAGCAATTAATAAATAACACGTGTTTTCTTTTTATTAATTGTACGTGATGAAGTCTATTTTTCTCGCCTTGGCTGTTATTTTATTGGTTTCTGCTGCTGACTAGACTATACTGGTTAGTAGCTTGAACGTTTTGGAATATATGAGGCACAACACTGATCTGTAATCGAATGTTCTCATTATTTTACAATTCGAATACATGTCTTTGGAGAAATGAAGGCTGAAAGTATCACAGCCAAATCGAACGTGCATAGAAAGCAAAATACCAGTGGATTGGATGGAGAACGTTGATGTGGATAACAACAAGGGGACTCTGAAAGAGCAGTTCGATTATTGGGCGTCAAAGGAATAACTGAGCCATGTGATGCAGGATGGAGATGGATCCTACCAGTTTAATTCGCTGAATGAAGTAATCAGAATCGGCAATATGACTACGATTAATATGTTTAATGCGGAGAAAGCCCGCGATCCACTACGATACGCGAATTAATGAGATGCTGTGACTTTGCTACATGATGGACCATTACCCTGAAATGAACCGATCGAAAATAGAGGGCATTTTCAACAAGGAATTGAAGCACAGAGAGCTGTCAATCTATACATTCAGTCAATTGCCTTTCTTCTCGTCTGTTAGGTGCTGTGAAGTCTGTGAGGGGCTTTACGGGCTACAAGGCCGATATTAAGAAGTTCGAGTCTTGGAATTAGAAAGTCGGAGTATGCTGTAAAGCTCTGCAATGATCTCACAAACAGTTGTGCTGAGAATCTGCGCGCCTTCGAGTGGAAAACAAGAACCCTATTCATCGCATTCGTGAATACCATGCACAAACTCCATTGTTTTTAGTCAACAAACAATCCACTTTGTCTCCACTACATCGAATTCGATCTCCTGCTCCTGATCACACCCAATATACGCGTCCGTCATGAAATACAGCATCCACGAATAGTGTCCCGGCTTCTCTGGCGCTGTGAACGCCAGCTGCTTGCTTCGGCTTCGCTCCAGGTCCACTTCCACGATGGACTGAATGGAGCTGTCCGTGGGATCCCCCAAAATCAACCACCAGGTCTGCCGCAGCTTCTGCGGGTAGTTCTCGCTACGCACCTCGGTGCTATAAGTCTCTCCCTCCTCCCCCGCATTGAGCTGCACGTTCAGCATCGCGTCCTGTCCGCAGCAGACCTCGCCTCCCTCCAAGGCTGCATTGACCTCGATGTCGGGATACGCGTCGCAGAACTGCACGACGTCTTCGATTTCGCGCTCGCTGAGGCCCTCCAGCAGCTTGGCGCGCGCCGCGTCCTCCATGTCGAGGAAGTCGAAGATGCTGCTGACTCCCTCGCCGTCGAACGCAGCGGCGCGGTCTTTATCGAAGTGGGGCAGCTGCAGCAGTCGCGAGTCCTCGTTCCACTGCCCCTGCACGACCATCTGGCAGAGCTCGATGGCGGCGATCGCCGGCTTGAGCCACGTGTTCGTCGAGCACACGTTCACCATGCCCTGCGTGTCATTCTGCTTCGGCGAACCCACGTGGAGGAGGCGCACGGCGGTGGGGAGCAGCTGCAGCGTGTCGCGGCGCAGGTCGCTGGGGAGCGCGTCGCGGTTGAAGAAGCTCTGCAGCAACACGTTGACCTTGCGAGAAACGGGCGTGGAGTTCTCGACGACGTACTGCAGGTGGTTCGCCATGCGCTGGAGAAGCAGAGACTCGTGCTGCCGCAGCGGGAGCTACGCGTTATCGCGGAGAGAGAGGATGAAAAAAACCTCTTCGAACTCCTCGGCGGAGGAGAGAATCTGCAGGAGCCCGCGGCGTTTGGTTTTGGCGGTGATGGAGAGCGAGAAGAGCTTCGTGGTCTGCACGCGGATGTAGAGATGCGCGCTCAGCACGCCCAGATTCAGCGGCTCCAAGGCCTGCTCGTCGATGGCCACCGCGCCCGCGTCCTGGAGGTCGGTAGCGGTGTTCTCGATGAGCGTGGAGAGGAAGTCGCTGAGCTGCGCGTCGCTGACGCCGTCGAGCGAGTAGAAATTGGGGTTCTGCGGGAGCCGGCGATAGAAGAAGAACCAGGTGAGCCACTCGATGGCGTCCTGCATGGAGGCGACGGTGTGGCTGGTCACGGCGGCGTTGAGCACGTCGGCGAGGTGCAGATGGAGCGTGCTCTCGACGGGGAGCGGCTCGAAGAGGAACTTGTTGAGGTAGTCCTTCTTGGAGATGTGCGTCATCACCACCGCCTTCCCGCTCGCGTATTTGCCGCCACGCGAAGCAAACCCGATCATTTCGAGGAGATCCACGATGGGATAGTCCACGTAGCGGTGATCCTTGCCATCGTAGAAGCACGTGTCTAGCCGTAAAGCGTCCGTCGCATCGCTACCCATCACGATCACCAGTTGCGCGCTCCAGTCCAACTCCCAGCACAGCTCCGCGGTCGCCACCAGCACTTGAATGAAGTCGCGAGAGAACAACTCGCGCACCAGCCGAGCGTCCTCCTCGTTCATGCCCTACCTCTCACTCCGTTTCCACGTTTCCACTTTGTAGAAGAAGGCGACGCCCGCCGCGAGGACGGTCTTCAGCGCGGGGTCGACGACGCGGCTGAGCACTTCGTCCATCTGGTCCTGCGGAATGTGGTTGAATCGGCGCGGCTTCGACGTCGCGGAGACGAACGTGAGGATGTCGATCGCGGTCATCTGCGCCTGCTTGCGCGAGGGAACGAACACCAGCGCCGCGTGGCCGCCCGAGAGCGCGGTGAGCGTGGAGTAGACGGGCTTGCTCATCGCGAGGAGGCGCGTGCCCGCGTGGTTGATGTCGAATCCCTGCACGCGGACCTGCACCGGATTCACCTTCACCGAGGAGTGGAAGCTGAAGAGCCCCTTGTCCACGTTCAGCCAGCCCGCCAGCGAGCGCGCGTTCGCCAGGCAGGCAGAGAGCGCGACGAAGCGGAACTGGATCGCGAAGCGGCTCTTGGGATCGGCTTTGGCCTGGGCTTCGAGGGCGCGGAGACGCGAGAGAACGGATTCTAAGAGATAGCCTTGCGCGCTGCCGATCATGTGGAGATGCTCCACGACCACCAATTTGATTTGCTAGCCATCAGCAACCCGCCTCTCTCTAAACCTACTTGGATCAGCTTCAAATGCGAGCCCGTGCACGTGTACGCGTCCATGTGTTCCGGCAGCGACACAATCACATCGCACGTGCTCAGAGTCCGCGAATCTTCCTTCGGCTCGCCGATCATCTGCCCCACGCTCTTCCCTAACGGCCGCATCATCTCCGTCCATCGCTGCACATGGCGGTCGCACACCGCCTTGATCGGACACAGAACCAGCGCCTTCCCTCCGGGCTGCGTCGCGAACAGGCGGAACATCGCCAGCTCCCCCACGACGCCCTTCCCGCTGCCGCTTCGTGCCGCCAGAAGCACGTTGGCGTCGCTCTCGTAGACCGTGCGGAGCACCTGCGTCTGGATGGGGTTGAACACCGTCAGCGTGGACGCCAGCGCGGCTTCGAAGGCGGGGTTGTGCAGAGCCGAGAGCGGAGCGGGCTGCAGGTCGAGCAGCTCCGTGTGGGGCGGGAATTTCTCGGGGAGGATCAGCGAACGGAAGGAAATGAGGTGCGTGGTCTCGGCTTGGAGCCAGGTGTCGCTGATAATGCGGAGGAAGTACTGCGGAGGCATGGGGTCGAAGAGCGGGACGGTGAAGTTGACGTACTGCACTTCTTCGGCGTACTTGGCTTTGAGGAGCCAGTACTGATAGTAGAGAATCTTCTCGCCGTCGCCGTCCTCCACGATCAGATGGAAGCCTTGCGAGGAGCCGTGCACCGCCGGATCGTAGTTGAAATCGGCGTGCAGCGCCAGCTCCACCGACAGCATCGATCGCGTGATCGGGAGAATGATGGCTTCGGCTTGCAGACGCGGGATTTGGTGGATCATCCGCTCCAATTTCTTGCCGATATTTCGAACCTGCTCGCCCTTTCCGGACACCAGCTCCTCCAAATCGCCCGCGCTCATCTCGAAGTACCGGTCAAACGCGATGGGCTTGTTGTCCAGCTTCTTCAGCACGGAGGCGGGGAGCTTGTTGAACTACGCGTCACCATGCTTTTTCGATCGCTACTTGATGCAGCGGCGACTGCGTAGCCCACTGCTGGTGCGAGACCATCTTGCACAGCTCCAAGCAGCGCTGCGCGAGCGACGACCAGCCGCGCAGCAAAGCGATTTCGAAGAGCGCGCGCAGGATTCGCCCCGCGGACTACGATGGATCGGGTTTTTATGGTTTGTCTGCCTACCTGTGTGATGTACACCATGTCGCACGCCAAGGCGAACTTCTCGAGCTTCACGTGGGAGATGTAGGCTTGCAGCAGCACGTTCACTTTGGCGCAGGGATCGTCCACCGTCTCGCGGATCGGGATCGGGACCTTGTTCATCAGCATGTTCAGCTCGAGCTTCTCTTCGGGCCGAACGACGATCTGGCTGAACTCCGCGGAGCGGCTGAACAGATTGAACAGCTCGATCTCGGTCATGTTGGGCTTGAGATGCTCGTTGTAGGTCGCGACGGAAGGGTTGGTGATGTAGTAATAGGACGCGATGCGACCCAGTCCGGTGGATTCGAACAAACCCGCCTTCACGTCGTACTTGATCAGTGCGTTCTTGGCGAGAAGACTCGCCGCACTGTGGATCAGATCCACGCGATACTGCAGCAAGGTGGGGTCATCGCGAAGCGAGGTCGCATCCACGCCGTACAGCGCGGGATTCTTCAGCATTCGGACGAAGAGGTACGTGTATCCGAGCCACGAGACCGCGTCGGCGACGTTCTGGATGGTTCCCATGACGATCTCCGCGTTTAGATTGTCCGCCAACCGCTTGATGAACTGCGACTCGATCGGCAGCTGCGCGTTCATCAGCGAGAGATAGTACTGCAGCTCGGAGATCCGCGTGATGATGATGCCCTCGCCGAACGACTCGAACTGCGGGCGTCCGGCGCGCCCCAGCATCTGCAGAACGTCCTGCGGCGAGAGCTCGACCCACGCGGACTGCTCGGGCGAGTACATCTGCGTGCCCTTGATGATGACCGTGTGCGCGGGCAGGTTCACGCCCCACGCCAGCGTCATCGTGGAGACCAGCACGCGGATGAAGCCCGCGGCGAAGAGCTCCTCGACCGCGGTTCGGTCCGCTCGGCAGAGTCCCGCGTGGTGGATCGCGAAGCCGGTGGGCAGCAGACGCTTCAGATCGTCGTTCTTGATCGAGTACTTCTTGACCTCGTCCTCCAGCTTCTTCCGCGCCATCTCGGACGGGAAGAACAAGTGGTGCTGGTCCTTCTCGACCGCGGTGTCCAGCAGGAACTGCGCGGTGCGCGCGGTTTCCTTCCGGCTGTGCACGAACACCAGCACCTGCTTCTTCCCCGCCTTCTCGATCACCTTCTCGTAGCAGATCTCGTTCATCAGCTTCATCCGCTTGAACGAGCTCTTCTCCTTGATCCCCACGAACTGCTGCGCCAGACCCACCGGACGGAAGCTGCTGTCGAAGTGGAACAGTCCCTTCGCGGGGTCCACGCGCAAAAAAGTCGCCACGTCCTCGAAGTTCGGGAGCGTCGCCGACAGTCCGACCAGTCGCACCATTTCCTGCGTCACCTCCACTTGGCGCACCGTTCGCGCGACCAGGGCTTCCAGAACGGGGCCTCGATCGTCGTGCAGCAAGTGGATCTCGTCCAGAATGATCAGGCGGACCAGCTGCGTGTAGGTCCGATCGCCGCTCTTCCGCGTGATGATGTCCCACTTCTCGGGCGTGGTGATGATGAGCTGCGTCGACGCGATCTACTTCGAATTCTCGCCCAGCACTCACTTCTTCCTTCGTCAAATTCACGTCGCCCGACAGCTCGCGCACGGCGATATTGTACGGCTTCAGCTTCTACATCGCATCGCATCGCACGGCTTCGCCTACGCGTCCGAAACTATCCACCATCTCCTTCACCAGCGCTTTCATCGGCGCCACGTACACGATCTTGAACTTATCGCGGTCCACGCTCCCGTCTTCCCGCCGATGCAGCCACATCTCGTGCAGAATCGTCATCAGCGCCACGTTCGTCTTCCCAGCGCCCGTCGGCGCGCACAGCAGCATGTTCTCCTACGCGTCACGCCCCTGTCCGACGCACACCGAGCTCAGCATGGCGCACTCGTACACCTCGCTCTGCACCAGATTCAGCTTGGAAACGCCCTCGAACCCGGGCCGGAACCACTCGGGCATTTCCTCCACGCTCACCAAGTGATGGCTGCTCAGATACTCCGCGTCGCCGTACTTGTTCGCCGCCGCGGGCACGTGGATCTCCTCCCAGCCGGGCTTCAGCACGCGGTTCGTCCCCTCCGGCAGGTGCAGCGCGTTCTTGCTCATCAAATGCCCGCCCACCGCGAACTCCAGGCTGCGCAGATCCAGCTGCGCCCTCGGCTTCGGCACCGCGAGCTCCTGGCTCAGCGCCAGGCGCTCTTCCTCGCGCAGCGCCTCCTCGTCCGCCTTCTCGCTGTGCGCCTTCGGGCGGGGCGTTGCGCGCGTCGTGGCCAGCGAGTCGCCGCCGGAGCGCCACGCGCGCGTGGCCTGGCCGCCCTCCAATCGCTTGAGAATGGCGGAGCCGTTGAGAGAGGCGTCGCTGAGCAGTTCCTGGGCGATGGCCTCGCGCTCGGCGTCGCTGGAGGCGCGTCGCCAGCGCGTGACGAAGGCGATTTTGCCGCGGTTGGCGAGGAGCTGCTGGATGAGCGCGGCGTGCTCGACGCCGATGCACTCGACCAGACGATCCTCGTCGCCGCGCTCGTCGCTGCTCTGCAGAATCGACAGCACTTCCTCCGCGATGTGCTGCGACTTCTCCGCGTCCGGCTCGTACTCGTGGATCTGCCGCTGCAGCCAGAACGAGTCGATGTCTTCCACGCGCAGCGAGCCCTCGTCCTCTTCCGTCTCCGCGGCTGTGCTCATAATCGTCCCGGCGTTCAGCGAGTCCGCAGCCTGCGAAGCCTCCGCGTCGGAAGCGTCGGAAGCGTCGGACGCGATCTCGTCGAGGATTTCCTCCTCGCTCTCCACGTCCATGTTGAACGTCATGATGTTGTCTTGCTCCTCGTCCATCGCTCCTTCGCGAGCCTCTCCGTCCGCGTCGAAGTCGGTGATTTGTTTCCCCAGTTCCACCAAATTGCCGAAATCGCGCTCGTTCATCTTTCCGAGAATCGCCTCGCACCGCGCCTGCTTCTCCTTGAGCTCCTCGCTTTTTAAAATCGAGAGGATTTCGTTCGCAATATCGGCCAGGATCTCCTAGAGGGGATTCAAACAAAAGGAAACAAACATCGGATTCATCGGGATAATGTTTGGTAATGATTTGCAGTAGATTCGCGTATTTGATCTCTGTGTCTGCGGTTTTCGGGTGATAGATCCGGCTGTTATAGTCGTCAACCGCTAAAACGCTTTTCACATTGGGATTCAAACTCACCCCAACACGTCTTCGTTTCTGAACAACCGTCTCAGAGAGCATCTTTTCACGCTTTCTAGAAGCATTATTCATACACAACAACCCCAAACCGTTGTTCTTGGCGTTCTTTCCGTTTCTTTAATTCGTCTGACTGTGTTATCGCACGGTCTCCCATCTTTGGTATTTTTCGACCGGCCAAACTCTCTGCAGCTCCCGTTGGAACATTACGCTCTCGCGGGCGCTCCCGATCGGCTTGTGTGACTTGATTTGCATTCTACTCGGTGATTCTCATTCAAAAGATCCAACGTTTGCGTAGGCAAACTGGCGCTCTTTGATCGCTCGTTCAGCCATAGTAAAGAGAAATTCTGTTTATGCGGAAGCTAAATATAAAAGAGAAGCAAAAATAGAAAACCGATCAAAACTAAGTAAGCAGAAAGAAATAGTTTGGTGAGAAAAGGTTAATGGATCAACGAATGGGTGGTTGTAATTGTGGTTTCAAGACGAGTGAGGAGAAGCGAGTTGGGAGTACTTTTGAATGAGATGTGTAAAAATGGATAGTTTGTTGTAGGAGGTTGAAGGGCTTCGTGGAATAAGGAAGAAAATGAAGGATTTTCTGTGGGAAAAGTAGAAAAGGAGGAAAAAGGGAAAACAGTGACTTTGATGGGATGATTGAAGTATGGAATAGTGGTAGAGGAATGAACAAGCAAGAGAAGGAATAAAGAAAGCAAAAAAGGCATTCTTTTGGTAGGTGGGAGATAATTCTAGTAGTATACAAGGTGGTAGGGAAACTATTAGATAATCAACGGAATTCGCGTGATATGCAAGTTTCCATTGTGTTATTTTGACAGATAGCCTTCATATAAGCAAGTGGAAAGCGATTGATTCCTGAAAGGTTAGAGAAATGAGTGGAGTTTCTACTGATAGGAGTAGGATTGCTATCAACAGAGAGATAGAATCGGAGAATGCGAAAATGTAAAGGTTTTCACATAAAATGGAAATGATTACAGGAGGTGTAAACAAACGCGACTTTCGAATATGATGATGATGATTATGACTACAATTTGGGCTCATTCATTTAGATGTTGTTGGGACTGTGGATTTGAGACTACCTGAATTATCAAACATTGTAGATCATTACAGGAAATATTTACTTGAAGGAATGTTTGAAATATACTATTTGAAGAATTGGGAATAGGATCGCTTTCTTCTGATTGCTCCAGTCATTTTTAGGTCTATGGGTCTGTTTTTTTAGATTAGTTCGTGACGTTAAGAACTCATCCAGTTGTGAATACAAAAGAAAGAGATAGAAAACATCATTTTATATACTAGCAATTATCATGGCGCTTTTAGAGGAGAGCCGAAGATGGAATACAAGGGATCCATTCGAATTGATTTCTAGTATCTTTTGCATCATTACGATTATGATTTCCACTTATCATTCCACTCACTTCTCATTCAAAAATACAAACTACTCTCGATTATTCACAAACAAACATTCTTTCAATCAATCGATCAATTAGATCAGATCAAATGAATGCAAGGAGTTTTAATTTCAAATACCTTGTTGTTATTTCTCTCCAAATTCGATATCACTCCTTTAGATTTTATTTTTCAGCGAAAATGCATAGCCAGCGATTCCAGCATAGTTTGCATCTGTATCGCTCTCAGTGATCGGAATATTCATTTCCACATTTTCACAAGGCACCACATTGAATGTTACGGTCCATTTTTCCTCATCAAATCCTCGCATCACGCCATAGAGGGAAGGCTGACTTGTAGCTCCCGTGTAAATATCACTTCCAGTCACAGCATTCGCAGTTCTCAACCGAATAAGATCAAGAGCCATCAGCACAATTACAGAGTTTGTTTTAGAAATGAATAATTAGATCCGCTATTTCTAAGTATGGCATAGATTAATTACCATAGATAAGAAGATATCTAGTTGCTTTTGTTTATAAATTACCATTTTTGTTTTTGCATGTATGACAATTTAGTATTGAAAAGTCAACACAATAACTACTCATTCATTTCCTACATATCAGTTGCATACAATGATTATTCTTCAAATAAAGTGATAAGCAAAGGTTAACACTCATAGAGAATAACCATGGAATAGTATCAATTAGGAAAGTAGTATTTAAGTATTACTATACAAAATAGCTAGGGAATATTAAAAAATGACTGTAATCAAAACAAATCCTGTTCTTATAACTGTTCTATTGAGTGTTCTATTGTACAAGGACGGCTGGGTAAAGAAATGACACCAAATGGCTGGATTTCACTCATATTGAGTAATAGAGAATGTGTAGTATTGCAATTCAACAATGGAGTATTCATGAATCAAGGATTTGTGCTCAATGAGCAGAAAGTGTTGAAAGTGTTTGGAAATCATCAAATTGGTGATATTTCATATAATGAAGAACAATCCATAGAAGTAGTAGAAGGAATCGTGGATTTGGATCATGGAACTCGATTTGAAGGATTGGTATTAGCAGAAAACAAGTTGGGAATTCCATTTGGATATGGTGAAATGTATGATGATGATGGAATATTGGTGTACAAGGGCATAATGATCAATTGGAAACGATTTGGATATGGAACGAGTTATCATAATAATGGTTTGATTGAATATGAAGGATATTGGTGTGATGATAATCGATTTGGAATTGGAAAAGTGTATGATCGATATGGTAAATTAGTGAAAGAATGTGAATGGTATAATGGAATTGAATGTGATACTGATTATGAAGGAAATGGAAGCAAATCAATGAATATCGGAATGAAACATTTGAAACTGAGTGACAATTGTGTATTGGTTAATTGGGATGTTTCATTGTTGTATAATTTGGAATCAATCGAAATCGGCAACATTTGGTGTTATCGAAAAAATGGTGATGCTGTATGCAAAGAGAAAGAGGTAATTAAAAAAACAATTTTCCATTTCTCATATCAAATTGTGAATCATTGGAATCGATTGAAATTGGTGAATGTAGTTTCAGTCATTTTGCTGGAGACTTTGAATTGAAGAATTTATCACAATTACAATCCATTCAAATCGGAACAATTAGAAAAAGATCAATCATTTTCTGCTAAAGTTCATTCATGATTGGAGGTATTGATATGATATTGAATATTTGAATGATGCATAGATCTTCCAAAACCACAGTCCATTACAATAGGTAACCGAATATTTGGAAACTATATATCAATAGTGATTGTATGTATTGAATGAAATAGAATAAAGTGATTGATTTAAATCTTCTATCATTGCAATCCACTGAAATTATTGGAGTGCGCTCAGTAGATTATTGTTTAACTTTTCTTCACTAATTATGTGAAGAATAAATGAAATCAAACAAATGATTGATAATATATCTTCCAAATCGAACTTCAATAGACAATTGTGAGGGAGGTGGTTAGCATTATAAAAGACTTGTAGTATAAAAAAGTAGTTGCTACTAGATATCATTGAATTTACGTTTTTTTTAATTTCAAAGTGTGCATCGGTTATACGTATCAGTAGTAGGGGAATGACTCGAAACACGCGAAAATCCATTTTCTACCAAATAACCGCGGTGAACTTTTTTCGACCATTTTTCGACCATTTTCGGCCATTTTCTGCCATTGTCTACCTGTTCACCTCGATGTCCATAACAAGAAACGCGCGGAAACCCATGACTGCCATTTCCTGCCATTTCCTGCCATTGCCTGCCTGGCTACCTTATTGTCCATAACAAGAAACGCGCGGAAACCCATGGCTGCCAATTTCGGCAATGTTAACCTGACTTCCATTGTAGGCCATGGTATCCATGGATGTTCAAAGTGAAAGATTGCTTCCTTTACTTCAGTCTATAATGCCCGAATGCAAGTGTGTGTATGTTGTCGTCCAAGATCCAACGTTTGTTATCCGTGCAAGTCATGAGTGTCTTGGTTTGTTCTTTCGTGCTGATGTTGAAGGCCTGGTTGTTGATACGCTTGAAGCTGCCTTCGATCACTGCATCTTCCCTCTTCTCTGCCTCGAGGACGCGCTTGTACAGATCGATGTTCTTCACGCTCATCCTCTCTCCATCAATCACCACATTGCGAGGAACTCCCTTCGCTGCGTTATGCACTACATGCTTCTCGTCAATCAAACAGTACATCTTTGGTCTAAGTCCCACGAACTCTGTGATGCGATGCCCGTTATGCTCATCCTTGAAGATGGGACCAGGCAACTTCTTGTTGAAGTTGAGGAACGAGTCCAATGAAGGGAACTTGCTCTTGTCCACTTCGTGATCGTAATACTTCACGAGTTCACCATAGAAGTAGCTCGTATTATCCAACTCAGAAAAGTCAAACGACTTGTACATATCGCACATTTTGTGGACGATGTTACCACGGTCGTTCAACTGCACGATGAGCGAATCCGTGTCCTGTCCCAACAACTCCACGGTGTCGAATGTCGTCTTGAGCACATTGTAATAGAAGTCGTAGATAATGTGCTTCGACATGTCGAGAATGGCAAACCCGATGAAGAACGGCTTCTCCACCTTGCGCACCGGTGTGTTCAGCTTGATGCCGATCAGATTCTCGGAATACATGGTGGTCCCAGCAATCATGTCGTATCCGTGCTTCTGGATGATAGCCTCACGTTCATTCCACGTGCTAGCGAACTTCACCTTCATTCGTTTCAACCCAGTCTCCACGAATTTGCCATAGGTCGAGTTTGCCAACAGCTTATACAGGTTCTTCTCCACAGTAGTCTTGGACT